ATTCTCCTTCAACTTTGCAGCGTTCTGTCAACTCTGTTGCAATATTGAACCTGACAGTTGAGTATGTAAGTTATTAGTGGCAAAACAAGGTAAAGAGATATATTAGCAAGATCCTACAATCTCAGCTGCTGTATGATGCTGAGAAATGGTCCTGATGTTTCCAAATTGACAGTACTCTGAAAGTATGGATCTGCTTAGATTCATTTATCATGTGCTTGGCTCATCGTTTAAAGTTACCTGTGCATCAAGGACCTCTCAGCCTCCTTTTCTCTTACAGATATTTCATCAAGCAACCATTTGACAATTCCTTTCCTGTACCCATCAGCCTGCAAAAAAGGTACTCCACATTTCCATGAAAAATACCAACAATTTACCTAACAACTTAGCCAAAAGAGACTGAAAATAATGGTGATGTGGAAATTGGTTAAAAGAAATGCTATATGACTAGCATCAGATAATTAACTAAGACAAAAGGCAATTAGTTCTCCATGTTCTTCGGTGTGAATGTGTAACTATTTTATCAGATCATCAAAAAGGCAGTCACAAAAATGAGCATTTCTGAACTTCTTTTCCTCAATAAAATAGTTAGACCCATAACTATTACTTCATTACTTCCAGCAAACCAGCTAAAGATTCTGTTCAAATGCAGTCCGCCTTCGATAATGGTTTTCCTGGCATCAATAGCTCAAATTCAAGTTTCCATTTTCTTTTGAAATATTTATATAAACCATAATATCACATGGTTTAAGCCATTCATCCTCAACTTTAATGGCCCAGCATTCAGAAATCTTAATAGCTCTGGTGTTGTGGATATTCAATCCTTCCATCAAATGCTAAGGACTAATGTGGTTTTAAAGCCTATTTTTGGTTATGAAACAGGGGAAGTGACAATATACACTATTCAGTAATAAGACTAACTATGGAGTGGAAGATCCCCTTGTCAAATTTTCTCATATCACTTGACTGGTTTCACTTTCATGACAAAAACCAAACTCTGAAATTGGGTGAACAAATTTTAGTGATGGGGAAAATAAACCATTGTACACTGTGCTAATGATGCTAGTGCTTCGAAGGAGACCGCAAAACTTTTATATGTGAAAAACCTTCTCAGAATGCATAGGCTGTTTGTATTTCCAAACATCTATTGCAAAAAGCAAGGTTCCTTCTATAATGATATATTCTATAGTATAGTGCCAGCAATGTAAGCAACCATTCAATACAAGGTAATTAAGAGTAATACCTTCCCATTTGGCGGCTGCATAGGTTGTAAAGCTACAAAGAAGTTAGCCCCATTATTTTTAATCCAAGACCCGCCAGACCAGATCACAAATTGAATACCAACAAACTTCCTTTGCTGCAAATTAATATCTACTAACTTTTTGTCCCGGTGGGGGGGTGGCGGGGTGTTTAATCAATACAACACGTTAGCATATAACAAAAATGAGGCAAAAGTACTCGTGAAAAACTACTTTTTACAAAATACCTTAAAGGATCCTTCTGTAGTTGATATATCTATAAAATAAGTCTGACATGCTCCAACAACCGTTTTTGACTTTTCAGGCAACATATCTGATGGAGGAGTCTGGAATCAGTGATGAAAGCAGGCAGTGAGTTGAAGTAAGATTTCTAAAAGCAGACAATAGCTAGAAAATTCCAGTGTCAGTGCACTCTATTTATAATAATATATCTCCTACTAAATGAAGGACCGAGTCTCTTACCAACCATTCACCAGCTGATGATTTTGACACTCCCCAGTGAAGAACTGCAGTGCTTTTCACATTCGAAGCAACCAATATGTGATAATCACCGGTTACAACTTTAGAAAGAACCTGAAAAACAAAGATAATAAAAAACCAAATAGCAAATATGAGTTCTTGTTTCAGAGATATTAGAAGTTGATCTCATTTCTATAGATGTGTATTAGGTATCAATTCAATAATCATTGACTAAAAGAAAATGAGATGACCGGCTAATCGGTAAAGCAAAATCTCTTTCTGAATTAAATAACTAAAGTGGATTCAAACCATGGCGATGTCCATCACCATTTTTACTCTCATCCAACAAACGGAAAATTATTATAGCAATAAGACTAACCACAATTTCATTGTTGCCAACACAAAAATTTTGCTGTGAGACCACGTTATTTCCTCCAATTGATTTCTCCACGAGATTTGTCAAAGATGATGAAGGAGGACCAGTCATGTTCTTGTGCTCCTTAGAGCACCTTTGCAACCACTTCTCAACATCATGTCTTCTACGATAAGATGATGGTGTTTCACACCTTGATGGCTCTACACCAACCTGGGCTTTTGATTTTGTACTTGCATTCATATAGCCAAGCTGTAACTCATTCAAGGATATTCCCTTGGACAGCTGATGTTGGAGCTCTGTTATAGCATCTGCATAATCTTGCTGCACCAATGTGCTCACTGTTATATATAAATACCTAGATTGGCAACATCTGATAATGATATTACCTGGTTGATGTTGCAATAGCACCAACCACATATCTGAGCTACACTATTTTCAAGCATTGGCCTTCTAAGTTAAAAGCAGACAGTTGAGAGAGCAAAGGAGGACAAGAAACATCGTAATATACAGAAGAGAAATGAAATGATAACAAACACATACCACTGAGAAAATTTCCACAGGCAATACTTAGGTAGAAACAAAATATCTTCAGAAATTGAAAGGTTTCAAGTTTTAATCTGAATCAGTACAAAACGAATATAGTATTCTAAAGATACACTACACTTTTATTTTGCATTGTGATATCAAAATTTTCAGCAAAGTCATACTGAGCTGATGGTAACATAAACAGCAGAGAGAATCTCAGATTACTCAGGCATCAAACGTTTTATTGGGTAGACGAACTTTTTGGAAAATCAGAACATGCATGCCAAATGTTTCACTACTTTTTCAATAACTTTAAAATGTTTCTGAATTTCCTTACGACCTAAATTTAATTACCACAAAGGAAAGGGAAGTTAGATAGCAGAGAACATTTGATGAATCCAACTTGAAGAAATGCAAAACAGTACATTAATTCATGCTTAAGGTAATTGAGAATATAATCCAATTTTTTGCACCACAACCACCTTTTGCTGTTCTGGAGAGCTTTGGGGTCTGCCTCGGCTTTCCCAAATTAGATATGCCTTTCGATCTATTAGATCTTTTGGTATAGATGGAAAAGAAGCACTTGCATCATGTTCAGGAATCTCTACATGGAAATTCCCATGATTTAGTTTCAACCTGGAAAGCAAAGTTAGACAAGAATTTCAAATATCTCAAAATCCACAACCAAAAAAATGGGGATGGCCCAAAGGAAATACCGACCATCTGTCATGGCTGCCATCCTTCAACACAAATTCAATAGCATGTATCTTAGGGTCTCGCAACTCAATATTGACAACATATGTCTCTCCATTCTGCAGTTTAAATCAGACATTTCATCAAATTAAAATTAGTAATGAATTCTTATTTGCTTCTGAGAACAATAACATCCAAATAAACTACAGAGCATAAAGGTCAAAATAAAATTACACCTTCACAAATGGTGTTTGCATTGCACCTTGCTTATAATATTTTGCCCCTGAAGAATGTTCATTAGGGATATACCAGTTCCTGCAGAAGGATATGATTCTCAAGATATTGTTGAGGAGCCAAAAAAACCAAGTAAATAGAATTGATATTTTATAGAAGGTTTTCAGTGCTGGCCTTACGAATTCCCATGGTAAACAAAACCCCAGTGAAGAAACCAAGTTCTTGTGCAGTTTTTGAGCTGAAGTTCAACTCTTGCATTGCGCCCACTCGAACATCCAGAGACATTAATCTTCACAAAAGGCATAAGATCGAAAGAACAATGATATTAGGAGAACAATTTCCAACAATGGTAATAAACTCCGTTCAAAAGGGAAAGTTAAAACCTGAAGTTGCATCCCATCAATAAGCTGAAAATGAAGAACTCGAGGAACCTGTACACTACTGGAGGTCGCCATGGCAATTGTTCACAAACACAGTGAAACCTAATCGTTTTGCAAGACCATGTTTGAGTGACAAACACCTTTTTTATAAGCAATAAACTCTCTTTTGTCCAATCATAGTTACATAAAATGCTGGAGTATCTTTAAAAGTGAAAATGTGATGATTGATATTCTTGAAGGGAATATTGAATTACCATCACTAATAAATCTTCAAACATGATTCCATGGTCCATGGACCATACTTGATTTGGAGCGGAAGTTCACATTGAAGTAATTCATTTCATCTGACAACTGCCATTCAGATGATATATATATATATATATATATATATATATATATATATATATATAAGTACTGCCAGAAGGGGATCACTTTCAAAGCCCCAACTTTTTGTTGATTGGAATCCATTTGCTTTACTACTGTCTCAAATGAATATAGGGCACCGATTCAGCTCGTTTGAAGAATATTTAGTTTTCCCTTTTTCCCTCCTCGTCCTTCAGTTGATTTTCTTTCAATGGAAGATGGAAAACAAGGGCAGTCGAGGTAAGGCTTTCTTACTGGAATAGGAAGAGGAGCTGGAATTCCGTTAAGAAAAGGGAACTTGGGGAAAAGATGGAAGAGAATCAGATGCTTGGAGCCTGGGCTAGAGCCACGCTTTGAAATTCTAAAAGCAAAAGCGCAGTGTGATGCGAATATAGATTCCCACTGGAAGAAAGTGCGGGTTCTGAAATCATCATCGCCTGCATTGATGACAGAAACAGCAAGCAGAGAGAATGGAGAGATGACGCCTTTTCACAAAAGCAAAGGAGGTAACATCGGGTTGGCGTTTTGCAAACTCTTGTTCAGTTCAGCACCTATTTCTCGTCTAACGAGGAAATTTTTGTTCAATATTGAGCTTTAACTAGTAAATGGCCTCATGATGGAATAATAAACTAGAACACCCAGGAAAAATGTACAGAATGACTGGAAGAGGAAAAATCAATTCAATCAAGAAGGGAAGATCAAACAGGCAACTCGTTCCATGAATATACTAAGACCGCCATATCCTATTCAAGCTGGTGAAATAGGTTGACAGGGAACAGAAACCATTCTTATCATAAGTACAGAGGTTCCATCTTTTTGTCCTAAAATTTTCACCGTTGTCCATTATGTTATCAGAAAGAAAAACAAAAAGAAGTACCAAGAAAAATTCATCCAATAGAGGTTGATGGCTTTACAACATATATTCAATCTCAGTCAACGATCCCCTTGCACCATCATCAGACACAACACTGATTGACATTTCATTGCGAGAGCAGCTTTGAATCACATGCTACTATTTTCACCCGACCAACAGTCTCAGAAGCATCCTCAATCTTAAATGTAGCATCCTGTAAGATGAAGGTCCACACATTGTCGCAGAATCTATAAGTGTGCAGATGCCCCTGTAGCACATACAAGACAGGATCAGTGTTCAAATGGGAATATCACCGCAGGTTTGTATTGCAATGCCAGCACAATGTATGTAGATTTGAACATTTTTCAATAAAAATATAGAAGCCCTCAAATCACAAATTTATAAATGATCAAAGGCCAAAACAAGCAGCAGAAAGCAGCTAAAGATTTTGTTGTAGAAGTTCAGTAACATAAATTAGAAACCCAAGTAAATTTGACCAAAAAGGAAATACCCAGTAAATGATGCGTAATGCATAAAAGAAAGAGGTATTACCAACCACCAGCTTTAACTGTTATCGCAAAACAAGGATATTTGACCAAAAAGGAAATACATATTTACGAATATGATAAAAAAGGAACTTCGTCAAAGAAGCAAGCTTTTCACACATCTATTATTTCAAGCCTTCTGTATGGCGTGAGGTTATTTCTAAGCCAGCAAGAGTGAGTGGAATTGGCAAAAAACAAATATTCCTAATTGACTTCACTGCTTAATCTCAGCCGCAAACAAAAATTGCAGCATGTGCTGTCGAAGAACATCAATTACACCAGAAATGTCCTATACACTCTCTAAATCATATATGTCTCACAGTAAGAGCAGGTAAAACAATATCTGACTCAAGAAAGTCACAGAAAATGAACAAACTTCCATAGTTAACAAAAGTTGGGGAAAAAGAAAGAGAGAAGGCGCAGCTTAATCTCTAGATGTCTGCACAAGGTAAAAGAAAATTGGACTTTACACATTATCTCTTCCATCTCTAGCAATTATATTAAAATCAAAATAACCCACAATTAGTGCATAACAAGTGAGGCTTTGATAATAGAATTGACATGTTTACCCTGCAGTCCTAACCACCAACAGTGGTCCAAGAGAACATTTTGACAACAAGAGGTAACTATGGCCCGTGGTTTAACAACAAGTAACTCTTATAAAAGTCAAGAAGAAGTTAAACATAATTAACGATTCTGCATTCAAAATTCTTAAAAATAATCCATACTGTGTTAAAAACACTTTCTAGGCATGGTTTAACACAAAAGATTCACATGTTGTATGTGCTAGTTCACACTTCTTATAAGTGCAATTCATTATTGAAACATAACAATAAACAATCACTACAATCAGATACCATATATATGAAACTCTTTTACCCTAATGTAGCACGATCAACACCAGTCATGCATGGTCATAATTTATCTTTCTTAAAAGGATGGGAAGATCAAGGGACCGTAGCAAACTAATATCAGCTTCACTTATAACACCGCAGTTATTAATACTAAGCATTCCATAAAACAAAACATCTCACCGTGGTTATTCATAGAAATAGCAGATCACCACCATAACTCACCGTCAATTTACCCAATCAATCAACACAGTAACACCCACAAGAGACAAAAAAAAAAAGAAGAAAAAAGGAGAATTATACAATACATTAGCACCTTAAACCACAAAAAGATAAAGAAAAAAATTTTCTGTTCTCTTTTTTCTTAAAAAAAAACCCCTTTTTTTTTGACAAAAAAAGTATACCTTAATGGTAACCTTGCTCTTCACTTGACTTTCCAGGGCTTCAGTCATAGACTAACAAAAACAAAAAACTAAATTAATGAATAAATAAAATAACAAAAAAGAACGAGAAAAGCGGAACCAGGTGTTAACAGTACCTTATCGAACTGGACGAGAACCTGAATAGCGAGCTCAGGGCTGAGAGTACCGTTTGAAACCATCTCGTCTAAAGTTTCCGTCAAGCACATGCCGATCGTTGACCTCCGGTAAAGCTCAAACGTCGCCATTGTTCACACGATCTGCAAAAAAAATTTGTAAATCTAGCATCTTGATGTTGAAAATATAAAAAAATTAAGGAAATGAAAGCAAGAAAAGGTTAAATTAGGAGTTGAATTTGAAGGAAGAATTTACGGAATCTGGAGGCAACGTTGAGACGGATCGTGAATGTTTGGAAATGGTAGAGCTTTGAAGATACAAGGAGTTTAACGTTCGGTTTTGCGAAAGGGGAGAAATTTTTTTTGGGCGGAGAGGATTTGGGGCTTTTTATACCCTAGATTTTGTAGATGGGGGTATATATAGGAGCGACAGTTTTGTATGTATAGAATGACCATTTTGCCCCTCCATTCTTTTACCTTAGGAAGAGCCTGTTGAGTAGTTTGGGTCCGGGCCTCCTGCTGTGACGGATCTGACCCAAATGACGGCCCATAAACTTTTCCATTATTGAGGATTTCTTTCTTTCTTTTTTTAATGAGATAAATAATGGAATTTTCAAATGTAATTGAAGATTAAAATTGTTTGAACAATTTAATTTAATCCATTTTTAATTTCGTAAGATAGTTTGTTAATTATTTGACGATTCTTCTTGTAGTTTCTATTAAAACTTAAGATATTTTAATAGTGAGGCTGCTCATCTAAGCTTATTTTATTTCATGGACCAAACTGAAATAAGCCTTTGAGCTTTCTTAAATAGTAATATGAAATGAGGTTATTAATTATTATTTTCACATAGAAGAAACTGCATTAGTATAGTAATTTTGTTTACATCAATAAGTTAGTTTTCCATGAAAGAATGGCATTGGGTGGGTTCTCCATATGGAACTCCGATTGTTGAAAGGGTGTCATCAGGCTTTAAGCCCATCTTGTCTCGGACTTCTAACCGCCAACATAAACTAAACGTGGCGTGGTTGCAAGCTACCACGTGTAGGAAGGACGTGTAAAAAACTGTCCTTTTCCTTGCACATGCCGTTCTCAAAGAGAGTTGGCTTAAGAAATTGCCATGGAGGAGATAAAGTACTCCACCACCACTAAACACTTCGACGACCACCGCTACCGCCGCCGCCAATAGAGAGCAAAAAACGTCTTTTATGTCTCGAACCAAGAAGGATTGCTTAGCTTTTGCACTTTCTTTGCAAGAGGGTTTTCGATATGTCAAAGCCATCTTAGTTGGTCAGGTATAAACTAAAAGCCATCTTGCACTACCCTTTCTTGCAACCTTGGCGAATTTAAGCCTTAGATTAACTTGTTTTTGGCGACAGGCAAAAGGCTGAAAGCAAGAAACGAGAAGGAAGTGATGGCAGCTGAATTACAAGCTCAGAAATGGCAGGTTGAAGCAGCTGATGAGGCTGAGAATGCCAAGGAAAGAATCTATAAATCCATGCAGTCAAAATACATTAGTCTACATTAATTAACACGTTGCCTTCTTTTCATACAACTACAACTTTTTGCCTTTTTTTATGTCAACCTGTTACCTGTTATGTAACAACGGCTAGAGTAAATATAGTAAAACATGTATATGGAGGACCCCTTCATTTATTAGAACACAGCTTGATACATTGATGTGGTATTAGACATTATTTTCATATTAATTAAAAGTTCAAAGTTTGTTGGTGGAATTGTTAGAAGGTGGGGCTTCTAAACGAATATAATCATACATAAGGCCCTGTAAAGCGCTGCTACACATTGGCTGTGTCAAGAAAATGGTATTTTCTCCTTCAATAAGCAGAGCACCGTTCACATCTATGCTGTAGAGCCGGTATAGTCCGTGAATTCCATGCCTTGCAATGGTGTTGTCATGCCCAATTACTCCAGTTGTAAACACAGGAGGATTTGCCTCTGGGTTATTGATCCTGACTTGTAATTCTGCAACATGTGCTGTTGCTAGAGCTAATCGAAGTTTATAGGTTCCAGTTTGATCTACGTTATCAAGGTTGAACTTGATTTGCCATGTGGTTCCTTTATACTTATCATCATCTTTCTTCCTGAAATGACACAATTTCATCTTCTTAAGCATCAATTGCTATCAATCAGAACTCAATGTTTTGAAGATATGAAGAAACATAGAAAACTAATTATAAGTAGGAGAAAACCTGGTAACTTGAGCAAAGAACCAGTCAGTTCTGTAGTCACTAACACCAACGGTGTAAACTAAATCTCCATTAGGGTATAGATCTGCGTATCTTTCCCACAATCCGTATTGCCTAAACCTAATAAAAGAAAATGATCGAGTTTTCACATGAGTCCTCTACCTTCTTCGTCTTGAAGTTACACAATAATCTTATCCTTTCTCTTGATTAAATTTGCAGCACAGAGAACTAACCGGTCAGGGTGGTTCACATATAGTTTGTTGCTATAATTGGGATCAGGATCTGGAACATAGAATTCTGCAGCAGTTCGATCGGGGATGCCGATTTCCCACAGTGTACGCCCATCTCTTGGAGGTTCATAGACAAGGTCACCCATGTCAAGATCACAACCTGCTTGGTGGAATGAGATTTGTTTAATTGGATCAGGAAACGTTAGTATTGGATGTTAAAAAGAAGAGATAAAAGAATTTGATACCTGGAGTTATGGTAACGTTGGCACCTTTTTTGTAATCCCCTATGAAACCTGGGACCCAAGCATAGAGATTATAGTCACCAGTGCATACATCGCTAAGCAAGAAATAGCCATCTGCGTCTGTCCTGGTCCAGAATTGATAACCCTGATATATGTAGTTTGGATTGGGTTTTCAATTTTATTGATTCAGATTTAGAATAGTGCTCTGGAGAACAAGGAAATAAAAGGCAAAAAGTTACCTTACTTTCTGTTTGCCATGAACCGGCATCCCCTGGGGGTGCCAATCCCACATAAGCACCGTTTGCTGATATATAGTCATGGCTGACATGCCTAAACAGGTTAAACTATGCAAGTTGATCAAAACGTACCTTGACTGACTGAAGAATCAATAAAAATGAGGAACCAAGCAGGGAAATGAGGCCGAAGAACAGGAGAGTATTACCTGTCACTGACTTGTAATCGACCACTAACACCACCTCGCTGCTCTGACTTCGGAAAATCCTCTGAAGCTGGGAAGTTGTACGGCCAAGACTGGACTTCAGTCAACATCTGAAGTCAAATTTGTATTGCTTTAGTTATTCTCCCGTTTATTATGCAGTAAAGGAAATGTGGCTTGTGGTTTCTAACCTGTTCTTTAGCATCTTCCCATAGCCAAAGTGGATCATCGTTATCAATCAAAGTATTGAGGTAAATGAAAACGGGGCCAAAGACTTTCTTCCATGGTTCTCCACGTTGAAACTTCAGCACCATATCCTCTCCCACGTAATGAGCACTAAGAAACATCTAAATGTAGCATTTTGGTTAAACACCATGCAGTTTACTTCTAATTGCTTTTTGGGTCTTGGACTACTTACAGCTAAATTTGTAGGACCAACATGAGAAGTAAGGTTTTGTTTCATTGGTCCGCCAGATCGGAACTCATTGCTTGGTGTGATTTGCCACCACCCCACTGGTGGATTGGAGCATATCCATCCATGGACATAAAGATCTTTGTTCTCGCAGGAGTACTGATACTTGTCATCTACCTACACATCAGGGAACTCCAAAGGCCTTTGTATTTTAAACAATATAATTTAAGTTCAACGGGACCTTTTTTGTTCATGAAACAAATAGGAAGCCCATGAGGAAAAAACTAAAAGGATGTACCTCTCCTTTGAACTCCGGCTCCACGGGATGAACAAGTAGGGCAGCTTCAGGGTAAGCAAGGGGTCTACTTCTTCTTGGCGACCGGTCCTCTGGTAAGGGCATGCGCCTTTGCCTATTATCCGCCACTGCCATGTAGCGAAACCTGCAAAGTGACATGACAATTTCTATGAAAATTCAAGTCCATCAAACAGAATTACTAAGCTTGTACTTGAAGAACCCCCGACCAAGACTAACTTTCATATAATTTCTCCAGGAAAATAAAAATGTCTTCAGGCAGGTTAAGTCTTAAGAGTCTATGAACAAGGAAAATTCAATTAAACAAAGAGGAAATTCTGCATACTTGTCCTTTTTAAGCTTGAACACGATCCTGGTTTGTGGCAGGTTGAAACCAGGCCACTCTTTCAAGTGCTCATAGATGGCGTAAGAGTAGAAGCCCGAGGATCCGCGAAGCATTATGAACCTGATCAAAGTTTAATCGGCAGTAAAACTTGTGTCTCAGTTGAGCTAAATATGTGTTAAAGATAGAAATGAGTCGCTGCATGTGCATACCTTTTGTCTATATTTAGAGGAACGTGCTTGCCCTCTAAAGAAGAACTCCATGCTCTTGTGAATGAGATTTCCACTTGTTCCTCATTTTCCACGATCACTCTGAATTTCGACCCTTTAATTCTGCATATTAATTGGTTTCTTAGATACTAGTACAACTACAAAAATTGATTCTAGTAGTATATCATATGAAGAAAGCAAAAAGCGGGCATTTTTCTTTCAATACACATAAGAGGTCCCTGTTGTTCCTGCTGTTCCTTCGTCACTCCACACAAGGTCCCAGTACCTGCATATATTAATTACTTCCAATTTAAAAAAAAAAATTCAGGGAAGAAAAAGATGATAAAACAAAATAGAGGCAATTTCTTCTAACCCAAGAAAGAAAGTCGACCATAGACGAACTACAGTATATAAAATGGATAAATTAAGAATGGAAGTTGCAGTGACATTTACCCTCTATTGGATTCTTCGTTATGAACTTCAAGCAAATTGTCGATGCCTTGATAGCTGACTCCGGTGACAATTCCCTCTGGATTTGATATTGTGACTTGGAGTATGCCATTATCCATCACCACCTGTGCATGGCATGAACTCTTTTATTTCAAATTTCTCTAACTTGGTCAGTATTTAAACAAATAAAATCGTTGAGAAAGAAATTTTGGTTTACATGATCATCCTGAATGTACAATTGCACCCCTTGAATCGACATGGTAATATTGCTATGAGGCCCTCCAGTTTCCCTGGGACTTATATATTCAATGCATAATTAAATCATCTTGATTAGTGGTTTATATATATCTAATGAAAATCTTCTTGTTGCCTCAGCAAGCGTAATGTAGACTTCATGGCTTATAAGAATTGATTTTGTATTGCTTTACTTGGATTTGAAAGCAAGCATTTATCTCCTAATTTCTTGTTTGAGAATTCTTTACTCAGTCGCTAACCGGCTCTGGTGCACAGAATAAAGCCGTGGAAGAGCCGCTACGTGCATTATGCTGCAGTAAACCGAAACACCATGGTTTCTACATGCAGGCATAGATTGCACCATGACAGGTATTTTGTTGCTTAAAAAACATCTCAAAATTCAATAAAGGCTGTGAGAGATCGTGAGTCAATTAATTAAATTACAGCTCTCTATGCTGGATCAAAATGCCCCTTTACTTACGGACGCTGAGCTTGCAAAACAAGTTGAAAAAAACGTGCACTTCTCAAGGCAATCAGCTTTAGCTAAAGGATAACGATTCTTTGGCTCATAATTTGTACAAGAAATCAAACACAAGATATATTGATGATATGTTTCCCTTAGTCAACTCCATTACTTCAAGTAAAAGAGGGTTATTCTGTAGTTCTTAGTCCTTTTTGCCAGATATTGTTTTAAAGTCTTGACATGTATGACTTTGCATTGTCTCTCTTGTAGTTCACTTTTTTTTTTTTTTCAGTCATCTTTTGAACACCTAATATAGATTAGGTTCCCCCTTGGAATCAAATTTATCATCATTTATAGTAAAATTAGTACGCTCTCCCTTTTCTTTCTAGACCAGACATATGTCAAAGGCAGAAAATTTGGCTGTGTTACCCTAACGTTAATTCAATTGATTAGCCACGAGTTGATTTCTTGGAAACAACCAAGCTCTTCGGCTAAAGTTATGAAGTTTAGTTTCATGGATGGAATAAATATTTACTTTAATTATATTTGTCATTGACACAAGGGGGAGAAGAAGCACAATAAAATTATCTTATGACTCTCAGAAGTAAACCCAAATATATCATCCTAGAGTAGAGATCTCAAACCTTTTGGAGGATCCATTAACCCAACGAGAAATAATCTACATACATTGATAGCAAAATAGTTATGAAGGTAAATTGATAGCAATCAAGGATATCTTAAGCTGGATTTCTCTAGTATAACAGAACAATCACCTCATAAAAAACATAACCATGCGATTTTTGTGAATACAATTGACGAAGTCAACAATCTAAAGGTAGAATTCTGCTATTTTATATATATTCAAAGCTTTCTGCTGGAACTAGAAGGGGGGCATTCTAGTCTTATATAGTCATACATGATTCCCTGAAGTGGATCAGTGTTTATTGCTTGTGTCAGGAAAATGATATTTTCTCCTTCCACAAGCTGAACGCCCGGCACATCTATGTTGTAAAGCCGGTAGAGCCCATGAATTCCGTGCCTTGCAATTGTGTTGTCATGCCCAATTTGTCCCGTAGTGAACAGAGGAGGGTCTGCTTTTGGATCATTGATCCGAACCTGTCATATGACATTGAAAATACAGTTCAAATTCAAGTTCCATATAGAGTGAGATGAAATGTCCAAGGAACATAGCAAACCATAGTCCAGAATTCATTGTGCTGCATACCTGCAATTCAGCAAGATGTGCAGTTGCTAGGGCCAATCGCAATATATAAGTTCCAGTATGATCTACAATATTGAGCGTGAACTTGATTTGCCATGTAGTTCCTTGATATGTACCATCTTCTTTCTTCCTGTAATTGAGCCAAAATAAATTCTAGCTATGAATACTTGGCATGAAGTCCAAAATGTGGCCAGTATAATGATTTTCATATTTTTTTGTTGGAATGGTTTGGATAGTCATTTTTATGGTATTGAATAGGCTGTTTATATAGTCGAGCTGATTTATCAACGGAAACGAAGTTGAAGTGCTGAACCTGTTAACTTGAGCAAAGAACCAATCTTTTTTGTAGGCACTATCGCCAACGGTGAAAACCAAGTCTCCATCTGGATGTAGATCAGCGTATCTTTCCCACAACCCATACTGTCTATACCTGGCCATTACATCAATTTAGATTTCAATTATTCGAAATTCTGGTGAATTGAGTCCATTCAATCAAATATCGGATCGTTTTAAAATAATCGTGATGCAAGTTTAAAGATTATACCAGCATGATTAACTAACCTGTCAGGATGGTTCACATAAAGTCTGTTAATGTACATAGGGTCAGGGTCAGGAATGTAAAACTCTGCTGCAGAGCGATCAGGTATGCCTATTTCCCATAATGTGGGACCATCTCTTGGAGGCTCAAATATCAGATCACCCATGTCAGTGGTACAACCTGCATTGCATACCATGGTAGATTAAAAAAAATCATTTTCTATAGACGAGATAAAATATAATTGACAAAAAAATTCAGTATAATTTCTTATTGTTCATAATTAAGAAATCAAGACCTTCTGTAATGTTAATGACAGCATCATATCTGTAATCTCCGATGAAACCAGGGACCCATGCATAAATATTATATTCACCAGCCCTTATATTCTCGACTGCAAAGTTGCCATCTTCATCTGATCTGGTCCAGAATTGGTAACCCTGTTAAGAATTTGGTGACCCATATTAAGGCTAAACATTTGATATAATGCAATGCTCAGAAGCTTGTTCATAAGGAATGGGATCGTTGGTTTAGCAAACTTGATCCCAAGACCTTAAGGTAAATAAACAATTAAGTTCACGGTTAACCACTCATCTCATTACAGTCAGTTAAAAGCAGATCAACATTGACTTAATAGTCAATGTTATACTGAGTAGAGCACTTGATAACCTTGCACTCTCTTTGCCATGATCCGACCTCTCCTGGTGGTGCCAAGCCCACATAAGCACCGTTTGCTGGTATGCAGTCGTAGCTAACATACCTGAATAATGATAACTTTCATTGCTTTATGGATTTTTCAACCTACTTTTTTTGAGAACTTGAACAAAGAAGGAAGTAGTAATCATAAAGATAAAAAATTTAGCAATAGTTAGGAGGAGACTCCTGGTGGCATTAATACTAGCAAATAATATAAACTAATTACGCACTACAAACAAATGCGACCTGTCTTGAACTTTTAATCTGCCGCATACTTTGCCCCGCTGATCTGATTTTGGGAAATCCTCTGATGCTGGAAAACTGTAGGGCCAGTTCTGGACTTCCATCTGCATCTGGAGATCAATTTATATAAGCTCTTGTCCACCGACACAGAAACAAGGCAGGATTCTATGTTGTCATTATTCTACCTGGTCTTTAGCGTCCTCCCAAAGGGAATATACATTGTCCTTATCCCAGACAGAATTCAGATACAAAAAGACTGGGCCGAAAACCTTTTTCCATGGCTCTCCTGGGTTGAGCTTCAGCACCAAATCCTCTCCGGCATAATGAGCACTAAGAAACATCTGATTTCACCATTTTGAATTTTGTGCAAGTTAATACAATCACATAAATATCATTAAAGACCACAGAATCCAGTCTATGGTGCATCTATAATGTTCATTGACTTGAGACCGAATCCTATTGTCGCAAAGATTGGAGGATTTATGAGATATTGGAGAACTATGTTGCCACGTGTATTTCATTAACTACTACTTTCCAATCCTTGTAAAGGAGTTAATTGAGTCGCTTACTGCAAGAGCATAGGGCCCAACATGGGAGGTCAGGTTCTGTTTGACGGGTCCACCTGACCGGAATTCACTGCTGGGAGTAATTTGCCAGAAACCAATTGGGGGGTTCAAGGATATCCACCCATGGACTTTTAGATCTTTGTTCTCAGATGAGTATTGGTACTTGTCATCCACCTGCTTATCAGTCATGACCCAATATTTTATGTAAGCTAATGAATATCTGATATGTTAAATGATGTGAGGCTTTTAACTCCTATCGAGTTATTTTCTCGCAGCTGGTAAATTGTGGTAATCGGATCGGTCAAGTTCTAGACTACACAAAGGGGACTGAAATATATGAAAATACCTCTCCTCTGAACTCTGGCTCCACAGGATTGACAAGCAGGACAGCTTCTGGGGTCGCCAGAGGTTGGCCCCTGTCTGGTAACCGGTCATCGGGCAGGGGCATGAATCTTTGCCTGTTGTCTGCCACGGCCATGTAGTGAAATCTGCATGAATAATAAATATTCAATAATTTAGAGCATAAACCATAGGTTTTGCTAGCATGTTTAAATAATATCTGTGAAATATCTAAAATTTTGTCTAGCCAACAAGCTAAGCTTATACGTCTGCTTTTTGTTTTTTTAAATAAAGTAAATAATAAAAACAAATAATTAACCGAAAACAATTAGGAAAAATAAAAGACTGAAAACATAATCAAATCACTGAAGAAGATCGAGGCGATCTGTATACTTGTCTTTTCTGAGCTTGAAAACAATTCTGACTTGTGGAAGATTGAATGGAGGCCATTCCCCCAAATGTTCAAAGATGGCGTAGGAGTAGAATCCCGAAGAATTTCGAAGCATTATGAACCTAAAAATCCATCATTGCAACAAAATCGGGTTTGTTTACCTTCCTTAATTAACATTTAACCTTTTGTATGAATGGCCTTAAATTATATGGGTGCAAGCACAGACCTTTTGTCTAAATTTAAGGGAACAACGTTGCCCTCGAGAGAGAAATCCCATGTTCTTGTGAATGAGATTTCTACTTGATCCTCATTTTCTACAACAACCTTAAAACTTGTTCCTTTAAACCTGAATTGCAAGCCATTGCTATCACTTTAACTTCTGAAATGGAAGAGAATTGAAAATGCTATAGTTCATAAAAGAGAGATAGAGGACATACACATCAAATGTTCCTGTTGTTCCTATACTTCCTGTTTTACTCCAGACTAGGTCCCAGTACCTGCCATCGCATTTGAAATTGAGTTCTAATAAGAATAACTGTTGGAAGGACAAATGAAGGCATGGGAGACAGGGATTCTAGGCAGTAGCGTTGATGCTATGTGGTTTTACCCTCTTTCAACTTCCTCATCTTGAACTTCAAGCACATTGTCGATGCCATTATATTGTATCCCAGTGACAATTCCGTCAGGACTCGATATTGTCACTTGGAGTATTCCATTATCCATTAGCACCTGCAGCAATGGTTTCGTTTAAAAATCTAAACAGAACTTTGCTGTAATTTTTCAAGGATGTTAGCTAAGAACGTCCTGCTCAGTCTATAAAACAAGGTGGCAAAAATAATCCCACAAGTAGTAAGATATAAAAGGTGTTATGGTAGAACATTATTCAAATTTTATAGACTACGCACAAAATTATAAAATAACTACCAAAGAAATTAACTAAAATTACATAATGATCTCGAATAAGAAGTTGCACCCCTGGCCATGACATAGTTTGCCTTTCTAATCCCTGGAATTTCTTCAGCAGAGCTATGAAATTTCAAAAGATGACAGAAAAATCTAACTATATATAGGCTAACATTTTGTCAAACTTTATTCAGAAGCCCTCCTGGAACAGTAGCTGGTAAAGGCTTAAAAGGAATGTTTTTCACCAACTTTCTTTTAACTAGGTAAAGCATTCTTTTCGTTTCCATATTTTCTTATGATCTCTTTAGGTTGTGGCAATTGCATTGGGTGAGTTTCACGTTGGTTTACTGAACTAGGCATTCATGAAGCATACATGTCACATGTTTTGACATCCCCACATTTTGTGTGAGATTGCTTTACGCACAAATATGGATGAGGGTGCCTTGCTTCCACAATTAACCAATGGATTGGCTCGACAAGACTCCTAGCTGGATGAAATTTCAACTTTGGTTGTCTAACATGCCACGCTAAAGTAGAATTGAGTTAATCTTAAACAGTCAAAACATCTTTGGCCAACATGATGCTTGATAGACTTTGACAAGTGAAATGGGACAAAAACACATACTAATATTTAAATGATCATTAGTGCAAAAGTTTAAAAACTTTAAATTGGAAAGAAGAACTTGTGATATTATATACAAATGCTATCAAAGCTAACATAAGCCCGATATCCAGATGAACAAGCTCAATTAAATAGATTTACGAACAGCCTTCAGTTTTATCAAATCCACATCAACCAAGGCTAATTTTTCTTTTTGAAATTTAATTTCTATTCATAAAAGGGTGCATAGTTCACCTCTTTACAAAGATTTTGTCAAGCATGCCCCGTACAAATAAAGGGTATACCCCCACAAAATCCTTTTCGGCGACCAGTTGATCGAAAGCAACACCAGCAAAAAGACCCTATACACCTGCCGTATTTGAACAAAAGAAAAACACAGCTAGCATAACCCAATCACCTCCTCAAAGTCCTTAAGCTTAGGCAAAGTAGGAAACGTTCCCCTGTTAGCCAAAAAATCTATTCACCCAAAAAACATATACAGCCTAAAGAGAAAAGTTGAACAATGAAACAACTGTCATCAGGCTCTAGCGTCGTTATTTGGTGCCTCCCCCCAAACGTTGAGCAGATTTTCAACCCTTCTTATCCCTGTTTTCACCAAGTTATCAGCTTGTTGGTTGGCTTCCCTGAAGATATGCTGTACCTCCCATTGAACAACTTTTCTTTTTAACATCTCGATGTGGAGGATCCACTTTCTCATTCTCCATGGGGCTTTCTCGGGTGCATTAATCCACTGGACAGCATTCTTGGAGTCACTTTCGAGCACCAGTGTATGAGTGCTTCTCCACCTTGAAGCTGAAAAGAGTAAAAAAGCCTTCACTAAACCCTTCTTCCTATGGACTTAGAAAAGATCATTCTTGTAGTCCCTTTTTCATCCCTTAGAATCCCACCTAAACCAAGGCTAATTAAGTAGGGCAAGAAAAAAAGCCTGATTGAAAGTTGGTCTTGATTCAATGTTACTTAAGCTTGCTTTAGTTGCGGGTGTCTTCCATCAAAATCCAAGGGGTTTTTCTGTTACATATAAAATACAATACAGGTCTACATTGCAAGAATATGGTCTAATCAATTGAAGCAAATACACACACATTGACAATTTCCTTCACAAAATGTTGTTCTTCTCAATATATTTCCTGGACATCCCAATTAATTTTCCATAAAAGGAAAATTAAGGTCTCTTGTTTTCGTCAGAAGATGGAGGGCCTTCTAAACGAATATAGTCATACATAATTCCTTGGAAGGGGCTAGTGCTTTTTGATTGCGTTAGAAAAATGGTATTCTCTCCTTCATAGAGCAGATTTCCTGGAATATCCGCATTGTACAGCCAGTAGAGCCCATGAATTCCATGTCTCGCAATTGTGTTATCCTTGCCAATTTGACCACTTGAAAACAGAGGAGAAATTGCATCAGGATCATTGACCCGTACCTTCAGAAAAGGAAAAGAAAAAAAGTTTCAATTTAAGAGTGTAAATTAGCATGAATTGTAGTCTCCAGGAATCATGAAGTTCAATATTCTAAGTTAACTTCAACAACATCACAAAATGATGAACGATGAAAAATTCTATGCCTGAAGTTCAGAAGCATGTGCAGAAGCCAGTGCCAAGCGCAGTTTGTATGTTCCACTCTCATCTACACAGTCTAGTTTGAACTTGATTTGCCATGTAGTTCCTTGATATGTATTATCATCTTTCTTTCTGCAATTCAAAAGAAAGATTGCTTTTATTTTGGCAGTATTCTAAACCTCGTGTGTTTTTTGGAAAACCAAGAGCTAGGTGGGGAGGAATACAAGTGATCTGGAAAAAAATTATAAGTGTTGAAAAGAACATACCTGGTAACCTGCGCAAAAAACCAGTCTTTTGTATAGTCACTAACGCCAACTGTGTAGACCAAATCTCCGTCAGGATACAACTCTGCATATCTTTCCCATAATCCATACTGCCTAAACCTGCCAACAATAGATGATAAAAACAATGACTCCGAATTTAAACCTTAAATGAACAAGTCAATTGTATTGGAAAAGCACCGCTAATTTCAATGTGGTGTTCGATATTGGAGGAATGAATGCCCCAAAAAAAAGGATAAAGAACTCAAGGAGCTTCGTGGTTCTGCTGCTTTATTGCCAAGTACCTCTATAGAATCCTTAAAATCACAGGAAGGGAAGCTAACCTGTCTTGGTGATTAACATATAACTTGTTGATATATACTGGACTAGGATCAGGGACATAGAATTCTGCAGCAGTGCGATCTGGGATTCCTATTTCCCACAATGTAGGGCCATCTCTTGGAGGCTCATATACAAGATCACCCATATAAATATCATAGCCTGCATTTGGTTATCAAAATTCAAAATGGTAATGATCTTTCAATACACTTCATAACAAGAGCTTAGGAGGTTTCTGAAGACAAAAATATACAAAGAACTAAAATAAAAAGACCTGCAGTTGGGGTAATGATAACATCGTATCGATAATCTCCAATGAAGCCAGGGACCCATGCGTATAGATTATAGTCACCGGTCCGAATATTATTAATGCAGAAATAGCCATCTTCATCAGTTTTGGTCCAGAATTGATAACCCTGCAATGAAAAAATTCTAATTATCCCATAGTTCCCCTCAATTGAGAATGCAGGGTGATCATGTCGTGCTACGTGTGAAATTAAAATTACCTTGACTTCTCTTTGCCAAGATCCAACATCTCCTGGAGGTGCTAAGCCCACATAAGCACCATTGGCAGGTATGTTGTCATCGTGAACATATCTAGATCAAATTGAAGGAAAAAAACACAACGTGATGGCCTTCAATTTCTGACCAAATTATCAGGGGAGCAAACAAGAAAAATGTATGTTCATGCTAATGATTCAAAACTACAGCTTTGTTCAGGAAGGCTATATCAGGCAAATTACCTATCTTTCACTAATAATGTACCACTGACATTGCCCCTTTGATCAGACTGCGGAAAGTCTTCAGAAACAGGGAAAGTGTAAGGCCAGCCTTCTACTTCAATTGCCATCTAAAGAAGAACCTTTTGTCTTAGCCACTTAAAGTAGTAGATAGATAACTGTTTAACTTGGAAGATGAAATTAGAGTATCTTTAATGCTGAACCTGTTCTTTAGCATCCTCCCAAAGTGAAAGTGGGTCACCTCCATTCGACAAAGAATTAAGGTAAATAAAAATGGGGCCAAAAACTTTCTTCCAGGGCTCATTAGTTCCAAATTTCAATAACAAATCCTCTCCTGAATAATGAACGCTGTGCATAACCTGATCAATTGGTCGTAGGATTGTAATCAAAGTCAATACTAGTGCTTTTTTGCTGTAAAAGAAGAAGTTAGATTAAAGTATCGAACCATGACATAGTTTCCTAAGTTTCCTTTGAAAAGGTCCTTGTTTTTACCTACCACTCTATCTAGAAGAGGGAAAAAATTGAAAAAGAGAAGAAAGAGAAAGAAACGTTTACAGCAAGGGCGGTGGGGCCGACATGTGAGGTTAGGTTTTGCTTGAGGGGGCCAGCAGATCGAAACTCATCGCTGGGTGTAATTTGCCAGAACCCCACGGGGACGGGGGGTTCAGTGCAAATCCAACCATGGACCCTGTTGTCCTTGTTCTCACATGAGTATTGGTACTTGTCATCCACCTGCACAGGTTGTCAACGGTTGAAAAGAACCAAACCACACCCAAAAAGAGAAGGAATAAGGACACATTATTGAAAATAAAGTAACCTGACCAATTTTATTTTACTTAGAAATTTAGAAACCACCTCTCCTCTAAACTCTGGTTCCAGTGGGTCAACGAGTAGGACTGCCTCGGGATAGGCCAGGGTTTGGCTTCTGTATGGTAACCGGTCATCAGGCAGGGGCATGCATCTTTGCCTGTTGTCAGCCATAGCCATGTAATGAAACCTGTGTGTCGAAATTGCCAATGCTTGTGAGTTGTTTTACAATTTTTTTGTTTTTGTAGTTGACTTTTTCATTCAGTTTGCAATTCTGCTCTAATGATTTGTTTCTAGTGAAGCAAGAAGTCCTTTTCGGTAAAAGCAGGTAGAGGCTGAACCGGCATTTTCTCCCAAATGAGTTTTATATTTACTCTATAAAAGGAAGTTTGGCAATAAAATAAGATGGAGAAACTGTGCCTACTTGTCTTTCCTGAGCTTGAATGCGACCCTGAACCTGTCAAGGATGAAAGCAGGCCATTCCTCCAAGTGCTCGTAAATTGCATAGGTATAGAATCCTGAGGAATTACGAAGCATTACAAACCTGAAAAAGATATTGAAAAGTTTTTGCTTTTGTTATAATCTCCCCTATCATCATGTAACTGAAATCACGTTCAGAAACAGTATGCTCTGGATATAATTAACAGATTGAGTACCTCTTGTCAATGTTCAGAGGAACGACTCTGCCTTCTTGGGAAGAATCCCACATTCTAGTAAATGAGAGCTCCACCTGCTCCTCATTTTCCACTATTACCTTAAAACTAGTTGCCTCAATCCTGCTTAGCAATGATTTTGTGGCTCAACCAAACAATAAAAAAAATGAAATCTAAAATAAGAAAACTTAGCTTTGAAGGGACAACAGTGCCTTTCGTGGGAGAGACTTGGAAACATACCTGTCAAATTTGCCCTTTGTTCCTTTACTTCCTGCTAGATTCCAGACAAGGTCCCAATACCTTTAAGATTCCATAGGGAAATGAAATCAACATCTAGTTACTCAATCACAAATCATTAAGTTTCACAAAAAAAAAAAGTTAATCACAAAACCAATCCCACGCACAAATCCAAAAAACTTTCCCATAATGTTGAAAAGAAGTGAATAAAGAAATAAAATTGATAAAACTAAATGCTGATTTTGTATGTGTTTGAAAAATCTCCTTCTATATTGATGACAAAACTGAACCTGAGCTTGCAACCTCATTTTCTCAAGATTTCTGCAGATCATTACTGTTCATAACTACCCTTTTTGCAGTTCATGGCTGAAGAACATGTATTTCATGCAATAGTTTTTTACTACTTCATTTCCCTAAATAGAAGAATATGGGGGATATAGATGTCAGACGTTTTTGCTTTTGGTTTGCCTTCTCCCCTGCACCAAAAAGAGAAGAAAAATAAAAGAAAAAGAGCAGAGGAATTGCGTACCCTCTATCAGTTTCATCGTTTTCAACAGCAAGCAAGTTGTCAATACCATTATATTGCAAACCGGTGACAATCCCACCCGGGTTTGATATTGTCACCTGAAGTATGCCATTATCCATCACCACCTGCACATGGCATACTAAAATCTAAATAAACTGGAGGAAGGAACAGGAACTTGGTCTAAAATTCTGAAGCAGGCCAAAAAGAAACCAAAAATGAAACTGCAAAACAGTAAGAAACAAAAGTTCTTACATATTTATCTTGGACATCTAACTGCACTCCCGGAGATGACATGGTCAAGCCCTGCTACCTTGCCAATGGCAACCATCAGCGACGACCAGGAACCGGTAAGCTCAGTGGAAATATGTCAATAAGGTGAATTATGGCAAGGCAAGAAAAATGTTTGTCAAACCCGTGACTTATATGACTTAGAGGAATAGGGAGTTCAGTGCAGTAGGTTATATAATGGAGAATGTAGACACGTGACGAGTTATTTACATCATAATGACTAAAGCTTCCGTTTTAGGAGCTGAAATAATATGTTTTCTTAACCATTTCTTTTGTTGTCTCTTTACTTTGCCGTCACCGTTAGTTTGGGGCATGAATCCTTCATAAAAAAGTGTGCAAAAGGTGAAAGGACACCAATGGCTTGAACGGTTGGTGTTGAACTGTTGAGTTCTGAGGGCATGTCAAAGGCTCAAATCCAAGTTTTCAAGCAGACCAAGAATCTGTGAGCCAATCGTGTGTTAAGTTTTCAAAGTTCAATTTTTTAAAGAATTTCCCGTTTTCTTTCATAGGAGCAAGCTTTCCATGGACCCTTCAAAATGGAGAAATAGGACAAGCATAGGTCACATGTAAGCAGATTTATGGGGTCAAGCCTTTTGCATGTGGAATTGAAATAAAGACTTCAATCCCAAGTTATTATAAATTTTTAACTAAAAAAGAATCCAAGTTATAGATTCACTAAGCTAAATGTCAGATATGGACAAGGAAATACCAACGTTCTTTGCCTCAACAGTCTAACTTTACGGCTCCGTGAATAAATGAAAGTAAATTTCATTTACAATCTTTGCCTTGTCTCTGGTTTCATTTCCAATTTGATCAATATTTTCAATGTTGAATGTTCTTCTCCATTTCTAGCACCTCGATCTGAGAGAATAAAACCTTCTCAGTAAAAAGTATGAGGGAAATTCTCCAGTATCAGTTCATCTTGTAATTTAAAACTTTTTGGAGATTTAATTGAAATGAAATTTCTCTTATGACCATCAATAACTATTAGCCGAATGTTAAATAGAACTAGCAAAAGAAGCTACTTGAAGTTACAAGTGGGATACATGGCTTAAACTAAATGAAGATAGGCTGTTTTGGTAACTGATGAGCTTCTGGGTCAATCAATGAAATGAAATTTAATTATCGTTGATAAAAATGAAAAGATATTTATTGTGGAAAATTGGGTTCCTTTGCAGGTTGCCCTGCTGCGGTGGAAAGCCAAGTTATAGCTTAAATGGGCATGGCTAGGCTCTTATTAGCAGCCTCTTAAATTTGGCAATGCAGTTCATTTCATGGCCTTCTTTCTTTTGGTAAGGGATTGATTTTTCAGAATTTTTCGAAAATGAACAATCTATTAAAACAAAAATGTATATTACTTTAATGCAGCTTTGATCAGGACAAACAACAAACGTTCAACGATTATGATCCAATTCCATCTCCTCTGACAATGCACTCATATGTTCTTTCTTGGAACTTGAAGTTGGGGGGCCTTCTAATCGTATGTAATCATACATAATCCCTTGAAACGGACCGCTGCTTCGTGGTTGCGTCAGGAAGATAGTGTTATCACCTTGTACAAGCAGTTTTCCAGGTATATCTACATTGTACAGCCAGTAGAGTCCATGAATTCCATGCCTTGCAATTGAGTTGTCCCTCCCGAATAGTCCACTTGAAAATAAAGGATTTCCTTTTGGATCATTAATTCGAATCTGTAGATCAAAAAATTCATTTTGTACTAGGGTGAACTTGCATGCTGAATAGGTTGCAGTTTGACAGTAAGACTCTCTTTCCATGGTATTCTTATCAAGTTGAAAATTTGAATAATGTAGTTATATACCTGCAATTCGGATAAAGTTGCAGATGCAATCGCCAAGCGTAATTTATAGGAATTACTCTGATCCACATTGTCAAGTTTGAACCTAATTTGCCATGTTGTTCCTTGATACTTGTTATCATCAGTCTTCCTGTAGTGCAAGAGACATGGTTTAGCTAAGATATGAAAAGTTGACCCCTAACAGAAGAATGGAACTGCTGTATTAGCCAAAACACCCCAAAAGGCTGCTAAATTGGAAGGGAAGAAATCAAAATGAAAAATAAATGTTCAAAATGAAGATGATAAACGAAGTTGCCATGGAATGATAATGAAAGGATATTACCTGGTTACTTGAGCAAAGAACCAATCTTTTTTGTAGTCACTACTGCCAACTGTGTAAACTAGATCTCCAACAGGATACAGTTCTGCATATCTTTCCCATAGTCCATACTGTCTAAACCTGCCAGCGGAAGGGTATATATGCCCAATTTATATTGAATTTCACCACATTATAGCAAAGCATTTGCAAATTGCAGAGGACCTTCTTACATGGAGCTGCTACAAATGGTTGTTCGCAAAATTGAAAAGACAACCGTGGAAAATGATCATAGGGATATTATTTCAGAACTATCATAAATAAATATCAGAATTTCTAAATTATTTTTGGAATGGCATTTGCAAATGCAAAGAATGCCAGAGATAACATTATTAGAAACCATATCACCAGTTGGGAGAAAGAACGGAGACTAACCTATCAGGATGGTTAACATAAAGTTTGTTGATGTACTTAGGATTAGGATCTGGGACATAAAATTCTGCAGCAGAACGATCAGGGATGCCTATTTCCCACAATGTAGGTCCATTTCTCGGAGGTTCATAAATGAGATCACCCACCTCAATATAACTACCTGTATCACATTATACTGACATTAAAACGCTTACTAATACCTGCAAAAATTATAGAGCTTGAACAAATTGCTAAAATTCGAAAAATGTACCTGGAGTTATAGTGATGGCAACATCAGATCGATAATCTCCAATAAAACCAGGAACCCATGCGTAAAGGTTATAATCAGCGGTTCGTATGTCATTGATCAAAAAATAGCCATTTACGTCTGTTTGGGTCCAAAATTGGTAGTCCTATTCGGGAAAATAGCAGGCGCATTATTATATGTAAGTATTCGCTTGGAACTAATTTTACGTCTGTGAAATGTTGTTCCGCCATTGCCTCCTGTGTTTCCATCATATCCTACATACTGTATGCTATAATCGGGTGGCATGAACTTTATATAGAGTACGAGATAGGCTTAATTAGTTACATGGGCAAATGGTAGTCTAATGGAGGGGTTAACAAAATCACCTTGCATTCTCTTTGCCATGAGCCAGCATTTCCTGGTGGAGCCAATCCTATGTAAGCTCCATTTGCTGGTATGTTGTCATCACTAACGTACCTAGACAATATAATCACAAAAAACTGAGAACATGATTTAATCAATTGGCTGTGTTTGATATGCTACATAAGATTAAGAGAAATTAATTAACAATTTTCTTCCTTTCACTATTTCTTTTTACCATCTGACAGCCCCACAGGAAACAACAAGAACGGTGAACAACCATTGTAATGTTGTCAACTCTTATTCATTTTTAAAGTAAAAATGATTTTAGCTTAACTTTCCGAAATCAATTTAAATAGATTTAGTTGACTAAAACAAGAAAATGCCAGAGGACTAAAGATTGCAGCAAAAAGTCTGCATATCTACCTGTCATGCACAAGAAGTCTACCGCTAACACTACCCCGTTGGTCCGATTTAGGAAAATCCTCTGAAGCTGGGAAAGTGTAAGGCCAGCTCTGGACTTCAGTAATCATCTGAAAGCCATTAAGTTATTGACATCAGATATAGGCATTCTAATTGTAAAAGTTATTGTCCAAATGATTGCAGCCTTTCCTGCCAAACCCCAGATTAAACCTGTTCTTTAGCATCCTCCCAAAGCGAAAACGGATCATCTCCTTCCATTGCATAGTTGAGATAGATAAAAACAGGGCCAAACACTTTCTTCCAGGCCTCGCCTGCACTGAATTTCGGCACCAGGTCTTCTCCGGAATAATGAGCACTGAGAAACACCTGATCATACCATTTTCATCATGATTAAATAGAAGTCATCGTTATTCATATAAAAAAATTTTCATATTCCCAGAAGTCGCCATATTCAGATTTCTTATAATCCCAGTGGTGGCTTCAGGCATATAAAAGAAAATTTCAGCTGTAGCGCAATGGTCTTACAGCAAGGGTGGTGGGGCCCACATGAGAGGTTAAGTTCTGTTTGACGGGTCCACCGGAGCGGAACTCGTTGCCGGGTGTGATCATCCAGAATCCTACTGCTGGTTGGTCAGTGCGTATCCAGCCGTGGACTTGGCTGTATCTGTTGTCACATGAATATTGGTACTTGTCATCCACCTAATAAGTCACATTGAAGGATTTCGTTTAGCCAAATTTTCATTCATTCCTATATGATTTGCTTTGTTTAGCAAATTAAGGAGAGACGATATCTTTAATTATTTATGCACTGAAAGTGGCCACCTCTCCTTTCAACTCGGGCTCCACGGGGTCAACCAGGAGGACAGCTTCTGGGTAAGCCAGGGCTTGACCTCTTCCTGGCAACCGGTCATCAGGCAGAGGCATGAATCTTTGCCTACTGTCTGCCATAGCCATGTAGTGAAACCTGTCCACCCAAGAAACTCAGCAGTTAGCGGTCTAAATTTTCTTTCCCTTAAAGTGGAAACTTCTTGTGAAGAACTAAGGATGTCACGGGGTGTATAATTATAGTTCAATCTATTTGTGTTTACTATTCGTCACTAAATTGAAAGAAAAAAAAGTGATAAGTTTATTTCTCTACTTGTCTTTTCTCAGCTTGAATGCGATTCTGGTCTCAGCGAGGTTAAAACCAGGCCAATCTTTCAAGTGCTCATAAATGGCATAAGAGTAGAAGCCTGAGCAACCACGCAGCACAATGAACCTGGTAAAATATGAACATAGTTTTTATATAACCTTCATAATAATAATAATAATAATAACTCCATAGACAATATTGCAGGTTAAAGGGTTGAGCAGTAAGGACCTTTTGTCTATATTTAGAGGAACAAGCCTGCCCTCTTGGGAGGAATCCCACGTCCTTGTGAAGGAGACCTCAACTTGATCCTCATTTTCCACTATAACCTTAAAACTTGTTCCCTTAATCCTGCACAGAAATTAACATGATTTTAATAATTAGCTTATATATATGAAATCAAATTGACTAGACAAAACCATAATTAAAAGATGCACCCGAATCTGCGACTAAAATGAAGTTATGTTTTTGAGTGAAAACTAGGAGATCCACAAAAGAAAAAACTAACTTCAGCGAAGGTTTAACTTCAAACTGGATTGACAGGTTAAAAAAAAAATTACTCATAAACTAAAACTAAAAATGAATCTTACACGTCAAATAAGCCAGCAGTTCCAGCAGTACCCGGTGAGCTCCAAACAAGGTCCCAGTACCTGAATCCATTGGAAAATATAGGCACTACGTTTTTAAGTCACTGCAAGAATCGATACCAAAGTGAAGAACAGAAAGTAAATGAAGATGGAATCCCTCGGCAAAGGAGACTTATACCCTCTATTCGATTCTTCATTTAGAACTTCCAGCAAGTTGTCGATGTCATTATATCGAATGCCGGTCACAATTCCATCAGGGTTCGATAATGTCAGTTGGAGTACGCCATTATCTATCATCACCTGCAAAAACATTGCATGAATATGAAGTTACTTAAATAGTATCTCGAGAGGGACACTTTATCTCCTTCAAGTTATGCTCTTCTTTCTGCAAAGACGAAACTAGAAAAATATTGGAAGAAAAGAAAAGAAATACATGAGTATCCTGAATATGGAGTTGAACCCCAATAGGCGACATGGTTTTTGAAGACTTGACGTTTTTGTTTGCAGGCTAGGTTTTGTCAGAGGTCCATGAAGATTTTGAGAATCCTCGGCAATCTTGCGCAGACAAGTCAGGAGTTCAAAAAGGTTTATAAGCATGTTTTCAGCTTAGTTTCCTTGAACTGGAGATAAAGCATCCTTTTGTCAATTCTTTTATCTTCAACAATCTCTTAACTTGGTCGCCAACGCAGTTTGGTACCATATAGAAGGAAAGCGTGCAAGAGTCGCTACGTGGAGCAGCCAATTACAACATGCATCACAACATCATAAATATGCCGTGGGATTGACTTTTGGATGTGTAGTGCTAAGTATTATAATAATAATAATAAAAAAACTTATCTTAAGATTAGGTCACGGAAAGAACATTGCTCTTGAAAATTAAAACTGATTTTCCACCCACTCTGAATAATATTTCGAGGATACTATTCCAATAACAATATCTTTTTGTGACATTTTTATTTTTAAATAAAAGGTATATGATCTCTGCTTTACATGATCCAGCCCTCCATGGTGGGTCGCGCTTGGTAGGCCTCACACGATTTGGCGTTCCGGCCTATTTATAGCCCATACAGGAGTTGATTGGGCTGATTATAAGGTTGCCAGCATTTTTCCATTCGGCTAGTATATTTTGCCAGGCTTCTTTAAATGGAAAGACAGGTGACCACTAAAGAACGTGCCAAATGAGCATGCCCAATACCATTTGGGATCTGATATTCTGTGTGTCAAATATTCAATTTACTTTCTTAATGACAAAATATTTAATTTACTTTACTAATTTAAACTGATTTCAATTATTTAATTTACTTGGTATAGCACATTGAAATTCAAAATACACTTTCATGTTAGGGTGGTCTTAAAAGTACATAGTTAAACCTATCAGTGCAGTTAACATGATGTTGGGGGACCTTCTAAACGAATGTAGTCATACATGAATCCTTGGAAAGGGCCATTGCATCTTGGTTGCTTCAAGAAGATGGTGTTGTCCCCTTCAACAAGCCGAGTACCTGGTATGTCCACATTGTACAGCATGTAGATCCCATGAATTCCATGTCTTGCTATTGCATTGTCCCTCCCGATCAGTCCAGTTGTAAATAACGGACGATTTGTATTTGGATCGTTAACCCGAACCTAGAGGGGCAGGAAAAATTTTAAGGCTTCATGGTGTAGTTTGAATTAAATGAAGAAAGATTTTCAAAGGCCTGCCCAATCAACCGTGCAGTGTAGTTCTTTACCTGCAATTCAGCTAGAGTAGCAGATGCAAGTGCCACTCGCAATTTGTAGGTACCACTCCGATCCACGTTATCGAGTTTGAAGTTGATTTGCCATGTAGTTCCTTGATATGAATTATCGCTCGTCTTCCTGAAATCCTCAATCATTATTCTCAACTAATATTGAGAAAATGACAGATGATCAAACAAAAACCAATGTTAAAAGCTGTACCTGACAACCTGCGCAAAGAACCAATCTTTCCTATAGTCACTAGCACCGATTGTGTAAACCAAGTCTCCATCAGGATATAATTCTGCATATCTCTCCCACAACCCGTACTGCCTAAACCTGCAAGTCGAGGAAAATGGCAACTAAGAACATATTGAGCAAGGAATTTGCATGGGCATGAAATTCTTGGACTGTTCACATCAAAGAAGTAAACTGGAGGAGAGGATCTCCACAAGAGAAGGCTCCATGCAGGAGGATTTTCTTTCCAAATCTAGTGCCATCAGAAAATGCTACATGGTCATGTGAAAAAATTTCTTAGGAAACTAATGGAACTAAAGTTTTCACTTCCTTGAACGAATAAAGTAAAAGAAACTGGTCGTGCTCACCCTAAAAACTCAAGTTCATCAGATAGCAAAACTCTTTTTAAGAACGCAAAAGAGGGCAGCTAACCTGTCAGGATGGTTAACAAAAAGTCTATTGATATACTTTGGATCAGGATCGGGAACATGAAACTCTGCAGCAGAGCGATCAGGGATGCCTATTTCCCACAATGTTGGTCCATCTCTTGGAGGTTCATATATGATATCACCCATTTCAATGTTACAACCTGTACTACATGTTGCATGAAGCATATCATAATTGTGATGCTAGTCAATTAATGAGTGCACCAAAGTATGAACTACCTGAGCTTATGGTAATGACAACTTCATTCCGATAATCTCCAATAAACCCAGGGACCCATGCATAAAGATTATAATCACCAGGGCGTATATTTCTAATGGAGAAAAGGCCATTCTGATCTGCTTTGGTCCAGAATTGGTAGTTCTAAGCAGAAGTACAACAGCAAAATCACTTTCTTTAAGAGTGCAATTGATTATTTTTGCTAGCATTGTCAAGAAAAATTACAAGCATGAAACTTACATGTCAAAAGAAAAGAATAAAGGACCACAAGTGTCAGCATGCTTTTTGCATGCTCCGTGGAATTATCATAAGTTCAAGCAACCTTACCTTGCTTTCCATTTGCCATGATCCTGCGTTTCCTAGAGGAGCCAAGCCAACGTATGCCCCACTTGCTATTAGATAGTCATTGCTGATATATCTATACAAGTAATTACTAGAAACTGAATGACATTTACATAAAAGTGAAACAAAAAAAGTAGAACAGGAACTAATATTACGTTTTGATCAACCATCCACTAACATGTAGATAAAATAAAAGTGAAATGCAGTAATAGGACGCAAATACAATTTTTATTGGTTCTTCTTGTATTAAATTACATCTCTTCAATTCTTGCATGGCAACAAAAAGAATTATTATAATTATAGTTGATATTATAATTACTGCTATGAATAAGCTATTCTCTTTTCTGATAAGTGACTGCTACGAATAGCGATATAATTTTCCCAATAGTGCTTCTATTCAAAGTTTGTCTGACTAAAACATGTCTCCCACTCGTGAAGTTACTAAGTTGTGAAAGATGTATTATTCGTCTTGCATGCCTACCTGTCTTGGACTAGAAGTCTACCATTAACATTACCCCGTTGTTCTGACTTTGGAAAATCCTCTGAAGCAGGGAAACTATATGGCCAGCTTTGAACTTCAACCATCATCTGCAGATCACTTATACAATTATTTTATTCACAGAATGTCACTACAAATAATCTTGTCCGTTTCAAAGAAAATCGTGGATGGAGTTTCCTATATCAAACCTTGATTTTAGCATCCTCCCACAGCCAAAGGGGGTCATATCCAGGAGTTGCAGAATTAAGATAGATGAAAACGGGGCCAAAAACTTTCTTCCATGGTTCACCAGCTTCAAATCGTGGAACCATGTATTTCCCAGCATAATGTGCACTAAGAAACATCTGCAGATACCATTTGGGTTGAGAGTTAATTTAAGTTCATGATCATAGTAGTGAATATCAGATTATCGAAAAAACCACAAGGTGGTCAAAGATCAAGCACTTACAGCCAGAGTGGTGGGTCCTACATGTGAGGTTAAATTCTGTTTAAGGGGTCCACCAGATCTGAACTCATCGCTAGGTGTGATTTGCCAGAACCCCACCGGTGGGTCAAAGCAGATCCAACCATGGACCCGAAGATCTTTGTTCTCACATGAATACTGGTACTTGTCATCCACCTGCAAGTCAAGAAGTCATAGTAAAACAATATGCATTCCTAAGTCCATACGATATGGAAAAAGCATCCCTAGAACTTAACCGAGCTAGGGTTAGAAATTTTGACTTAATGAAGACAAACGACATTTATGCTTTGCCACATTGGCTAGAGCAAAGTTTGGGATCTGCTCACAATCTAATTACAAAGTGCTTACTGTCGATGATGGAGAAAAATAAAATGGCCTAGAGAAAGCACATAAGGAGGAGAATGGGCATGCAAGAAGTACCTCGCCTGTTAGCCTCTGATCCATGGGATTGACAAAAAGAACTGCTTCTGGATAAGCCAAAGGTTGGCATCTTCCAGTTGATCGGTCATCAGGGAAGGGCATGTATCTTTGCCTGTTATCTGCTATGGCCATGTATTGAAACCTGTGACAAATTCAAAAGTCCACAAAATCAACCAATTTTTACTTACTAAAAATTATTTCACTTGAAACCATACATAGGTGGCTAAATAGCTATACTTAAGTTTAAACGAACTTGATGTCCCATACTGCTGTTCAATCCATTTCTTAACCTATCTAGAATTAGTGAATTGCATAACTAGCTTTAAACAATGACTGGAAGCTACCTTTAACATGCTATAACACATAATTCTTAAAATGAAAACTTATAGTTGAGTCAATCAATTGATACAAAATAAATTCACCAATACTAAGTTGTCTGTCACTGAATCATAACCCTGGATTGACAGGGAAAAAAAAGGATATTTTCTTATAATAGCATTTCTGGACAAATAACAAAGTTTTCAAATTTTCACTTGACATTGTTGGTTTTTCAAAGAAATCCATTAGAAAGCTGTAAGCAGCCGATCTGTTAAAGGAAGAACATGCTATGCATTTATTACTTCTCTTTTCTGAGCTTGAAAGTAATTCTGGTTTCCCCAAGCTCAAAACCAGGCCATTCTTTGAAATGCTCATAAATGGCATAGGAGTAAAAGCCTGATGAACCACGAAGCATTATAAACCTGGAGAAAGATAGTCATGATTAATAATTCTGTAGCTGAAAATCTCGATAACAAACCTATGTATGGTTTAAGCAAGGACCTTTTATCAATATTTAGGGGAATGTACTTGCCCTCGAGAGAGGGATCCCAAGTTCTTGTGAACGAGAGCTCAACTTGTTCCTCATTTTCCATTATAACCCTAAAACTTGTCCCTTGAATCCTGCACAGCAATAATACTTTAGTATAACCACAATGGTAATTATTTTATGGTTAATAAATCAAGTATAATCAAAATCTGAACCATTTTATCCAATCCTGATTGAAATATCGAAGTCAATAAAAAGGAAAAAATTGATAGTAAACTTTGTAAGCAAAGAAGAAATAGTTGTTTGAAAGGAAAACAATAATGACAATGCTTTTGAGATATATAGAAAGAGAATCTCGTATGCAGAGCATGTTGATAGCATGAACTAGCTTAAATAGGAAAGCCTTTTATATGTATTATAAAATTTAGATCAACCAAGTTTCTCTGTTCAATGCATCAAAATCTTGTTGCAACGTAGCTTCCTACCCATCTTGCGTTAAAAAATAAAAAATTTAGGAAACCTATTCGGCCAGTCCAAGTAGAGGGCCCAAAAAAGAGACTTTTAGAATTAAAATCTGGCCTAATGAAGTTAAGTCGAAGTGTTATTCGGTGGTTCTCATATATGCAGAGCAGAGGACAATGGGCGTACACATCAAATATTCCCTTCCCTCCTATTTCATTCCAGTGCAGGTCCCAGTACCTACAATCAGAAAAAATCAGTCAAATGCTGTGGTTTTGCTGTGTATGACAGAAAAATATGTAAGAAACACTTCTAAGCAAGGGACTGTAAGAAAATTTGCCTGTATTGTAACACTTTTTCTATGGCACCTACAAATGCTCCTTCCTCTAAGTTACATAGTCTTACTTAGCGTCTTGATTTCATTAAATTAATTCTATGCTTTGAAATGCCTATTAGCTAACAGTTTTTATTGCCATGCACTTAATTAGTTCCAAATCTACAGATCCTTAACTATCACCACGAGCAGAAGCAACTAGAAAAGAAAACATAATTTGGCAGCAGATTTATGTAATGCTACATACCCTCTATTAGTTTCCTTGTTTCGAACTTCAAGCAAGTTGTCTATGCCATTATACCGTATACCAGTAACAATACCCCCAGGCTTTGATAATGTGACTTGACATATGCCATTATCCATCACCACCTGCAAACATTTTGAATATTGGCAGAAAGGATACTCACAACCAAATCAAACCCCATCAACTGCTAATCTCCAAAAGACTCCATTCAACTCATATATCCATGCATATCAAATTCTAACAATTTCTGGGAATCCAAAGAAAATCAGACGAAAGTGACTTACATAACGGTCTTGAATATGCAATCGGACCCCTTGAGGTGGCATGGGAGCACAAGCTATATCCTGATTCATGATCAATATATCTGAAAATTCAAAAGAAACTATTTTATAAAAAGTGTTACAATTTATCAAAATTGAGAAATAAATCAATTAAAAAAGATGCAAAATGTTCGAGGCTTTGGGTTAGAGAAACAAAGCAATCTCTGCATAGCGTGGGATATTGCATTAAGAAACCTAAAGCAAGAATATAATAAGATAATGGAAAATGTCCGAAAGAAATTGTAAATTTCGAATATAGGATCTTGATCATAACTTGGCTTTACTGCTTCCACGCCAAGACTTCACTATTGCCAGTCCCTTCATTGAAGATGGCTTCAATCAAATCCTTATCATTTCACTTCAACGTGAAATTTCCAAAATAAATAAACATCTCCACAGTCACTATACAATTGAAAGCAACAATTTTAAAATTTTAAATTACCTTGCCTTTCATTCCTGTTACGTTTGTTACAGCGGCCGCAGCCACTGAAAAATTCTATGATCCTCTGCAGTGTGCGTGACATGTACGATCAGTCTGTCAGCGAATCAGGCTGGCGTAAGTTCATCGCACGAGAGAGAAACGGCGGTGATGGCAATGATCGGGTGATCGGAGATGCTTTCGGCGTAGATGCGGCCGTAAGCGATCAGAGAACTACCGTTTGTTATGGTGGTTGATATTCGGCGACAGTTACAGTGGCGGGTAAGTTTTCAACCGTTGAGGAGAGCGTCTCTCATTATATTATAAATAATAATAATAATTATTATTAATTATTATTGTACTAAAAAAATATGCTTTTCTACATTTTTAACATGGATTCAGTTATGAAAGCCGTTGCCACTTGTGATAATGGCAAAGGGGGAATGAGAAAAGAAATTCCTTTTTATTTTCTTAAAACGTATAATTATAAATATATATATATATATAAATTAAAATCTGAACCTCATTAAATGTAACAACGAAAAGCATAATTATGGAATCATAATTTAGCAACAAAAAAAATTTAAAAAGAAATACTAATTATTTGCTTATTCTTTGGAATTCAAAGGCTTAATGTCCCGATATCATAGTAACAAAATTGATTCGATTTTAACCGGTGAAATATTTGCTCATTTTTTATCGCTCATCTCAAAGAAAAATGATCATAAAAAAGGCAAGCCGTTGGCGTTTGGCTCTGAACTACTACCCGGTCAGATGATTTAGTCAATCTCAGAGAACTTCCTGCGTTAGAATCGGGGCAGATTATGTTTAGGATGATGCCAGCCAGGGCACAATGCACACCAAGTCCGCAATATGACATTCATAGTACATAGCTGACACATTATTGTGATAAAAATTTGGTTTTCATAATATTTTTGGTACATTTAGCATTATTATTATTATTGTTATAATTTGGAGTTGCAAAAAGGCAGTCGTTTCATGTATAAAAATTTTTATGAACGAAGAAGCAAATATACTGTCAGTATATTATGATCACAATCTGAATGAGTTTGATACAGCAACAATAAATATAAGCTCTAGGATAATTTGAGATACAGAAATGGAATATTTAGCTCTCAAGCTGATTTACATAAGCCCAGTGTGTATCCTCTACTCTGCTAATGCACCTGACTGGTCTCTGTCTTCTTCTGGAAAAAAAGTGACCCTAATAGAACAGCAATGCCTGTTATTGCAATGGTGAATAGAAGTCTTCTCCGTGAATATTCAGGTGGCTGCCTTCTCTGAGCACCTTGCTCCCTTTCAGCAGCTCTCACATCCCTAAAATGAGGTCCCAAATCCATTACTTAAACCCATGATAATTGGTGTAAAATATTTCTCTTAAGGCAAGGCAGGAAACAAAAGGCCAATCTGACACAATTTTCAGATAACAAATACTTAAGTACATGCGGTGCGTTAAAACGTTGTTTCCGTAAATCTTAGGTGCAAAACAAACTCAAGTTCTTGGGCTTGATCTGATGGTATTTGCCAGAATGGAGTCAAGTCCCATTCATATCAAGGTGACACAAAGACAAGTTAAATTATGCACTATTTTCTGGCTTAAGTAGGGGGTGCCGTTCTTGCCATTGATGAAAGGGAGGGGAAAAAGGACAATGATCATGGCTTATGCAACCATTAATTACACATCACAGCTAAAACCATCTTTTTCAAAATAAAATCACAAGCTAAGTAAATACTTTAACTAGCTATCTTTGAACAGAATGCAGAATCAAACCCAATTACCCAAAGAACTAGCTCTTCACACGACAATATAGTCCACAGAAAGCAATGAACACTTTGCAGTAACTACTAGTTCTCAATTTGCAGACTGAAATTTGCAATGAGTACAAAATGCTAACCTAAACCACACAAGTTACCAACTTTTGCCTGCTAGATACTATGAAGACAAAAATATAAATTCTTGACGTAGGCCATCGATAACAAGCTTAAAAATTGAAAAATAATTTGTGAAAAAGTTATAAGTGATCAATACATCTACCCAAAACATTCCAATGGTAAGTTATAGCATATGTTATATGTACCTGGAAGATCCCACATTTTCTGCAACACCAGTACACCTACTTTCATGGTTATATCTTTCTCTCAGTCTAATGTATCTGTTACACAGATGACACAGCTCCGTCCGGTTCCCACAGACTTCCTAAAATCACAAAGCAACAGTAATATAGTAACAATTTCATCTAACACATACCATCCGAATCCTTATATTGAAAAATGATAACAAAATTAGTACCTGATGCTCAGCCAGATCAATAGCAGGCAATGGAAACTCGCAGAACTCGCAAGTAACAATCCTCTGGGGGCAATTTTCACCTTTATGGATAGCTAGAATTTCACGTTCCATTGTCTCACTGCACAGCGAACAGGCCACCTGCTTGCATACATATGTGGTCAATAGCATCACAAATGTTAATACATGCATTATGTTAGATTTTATAGTAGAAATGCACTTGCACATTACATACAGACATACACAAGCACAATTGAATCAACCCACAACAATCTTGGCTAACCAAAATCATGGTAGACAACACCTACCCATTATTGTTCATCATTAAAGGACTAACTGGAGTCTTTGTATTCTCTTCTGTTTCTCTAAATAATATTTCAAACTTTCATAAAAATGAACATTTACAGTAACTTTCAGGAGGTTGATAATTTGTTTCTACCTTATAACCATAATCTGAGAAAATAGTCTTCCCTTCTAGACAAATTGAGAAATCCAAACCAAAAAGAAAAGACTTGAGTTCAAATGGTGGAATAAAGAAGGAAGGGCGGATTATCAACTCAAATATCCATCAATCTAAACAGGCTTTATCAATTTGCTTTGGAAGAAAAACCACATATCCTAGGCCAATAAGATAATTAGGATGGCAACATGAAGAATATGTCAAATACATTGACAACTTAGTTATCCCTTCCCCACCCCTTCTTCCCAAAATATTTATTGAAAAAAAAATATCAACCTAAGAAAAATTCCAACATTTTGGCAAGATTTGAATGCTATAACCTATTGCTATTTATTAAGCTAAACACAAAGATCACACAATTTTACAGCTTCCAGCTCCAGTAGCATCAGAAAGCTATCATAACGATGGGAAAAGCAGAGAAAGGAAACAACAAAGATAAGAATTGATTCATTTGAAAAGAATCAGAAAGACCTAAACTCACATACCGGAGCATGGGTGTTTAAGAAATGTTCCTGAGCATGCTTTTTTGGAACCATATCACCACAAACTTTACATTTTTCTAGATTCCGGACGCAATGGGCATAATGCAAATCAATATTTGAAGAAGGTATGGGCCTGTCACTGAAACATTTGAAAGGTGAAAATACTCATTAAAATTTCCTGGGCAATGGGATTTCCAAAACTGTTACATATTTGAGTACACCTCCATCCTCATAAAACTTTATTAATAAAGGACATCATTGCAACATTAAAAATTAATTAGCAACCACTTCAAAACTAAGGAATACATCAACACAAGATTCAAAGACCAATAATGTACTTCAATCTTGCATAAGAACAAGGCAATAGATATGAACCCGGGTAATCTGTGATTTACAACTCATTTTCACCATCCCAACTATGTACAGAAAACATAAAGCACACTTCAAGGTCCCTTATACTTGGATTACAAAGTCATTGTTAAAGGAAACAAGCACAACCAAAGAAAGAACCTCCATAAAAACTACCAACACCTATATTGAAATGTTCAAAATGCCCAATGGTCGAAGCCAAATTTTCATACTTCAATAGATTTCAGCTATTGATATAGACAAACGCCTTGATCACATGGACTCAATGCAACCATAAACACATCGAACAAACATAATTTTAGGTCCTAAACGACATTGAAAAAGGAAAGTCAATAAACTCACTCCCATTCCAGCTTGGTTCGGTCAACTTAAATTACTAATCATTTGGTTATGCATGAATTAATCCCCTACTACACGAACTCTGAACAAATCAGGTAACAAGAATCCTCCGCAACGCAATTTTAAAAATTCAAAAGAGAAATGCGAATTTTTAAGCTTATATAAACAAAATCTCAGATGATAAGAGAACAAACAACCAAAAGAACTGAGATCAGGAAGACAAGAAAGCAAATTACGTTGACAATTCAACGAATTAAAATTAATTCTAGAAACGATCACAAAAGTATATAATTCGAAGAAAGCGTTAAAATGATCACAAAATACCAGTGATTGCATATGCGCGTGGTTTCGTCCGAAGCAATTGCCATAGCGATCCGCTCAAAATCTTTGGTCCACATAAAAATAATAATAAGAAATCAATGAAAAATAATTAATTGAGGGGGAAATCGGACAAGGGCGAATTAAAATTTAGTGATGAAGATTACTAATTAAACCTGCAAGAAGCCTGGATTTTCGTTCGAGACTCTCCTCTTTCCCTGTTCCTTTTTTCAAGATTCGTAAGAGAGGAGAAAATAAAATAAAAAAAAGAAAATCAGAGCGAAGACTCAGAGAGTTTCAATTAATTACTTCTTTGGTTGAGCGAACAACTTTAGATGAATGACTTTGGCCTTTGGGACCACCCATGGAGTACACCATTCAGCTTTTTCCCCCACGCGCCTTTCAAGGCGGTGAGTGCCACGATTATCGGCAATTTGGGCCATGGCCTTTTAAAGTTTTTGGACTTAAATTTCATGATTGGGCCTTCAGCAGTAACCCTTCAGAAATAACTCTATGATAGCTTGATTTCCATTTTCATAAATCTACAAAAATTATCAATTAATTTCTTTTCTTTTCTTAACAAATCAAAAAATTCCTTGGTTACGAGGAAGAAATTAAATAAAAATTTCAGTATATTATTGTATATACATTTATATACATAACTTATACGTATACTAATTTAGAAAAAAGATGAAAAATCTTATAATATATTAATATATATATAATTTACTAATCAATGTAAAATATTTCCTAAGGCAAATATTGCACTTTTCGCATTATCTTTACTAGTAGTTCAACTTAATTTAACCATGCATTTATGTATATATACATTTGCGGAAACTTTATGTATATAAAATCTCTAGTTCAGAACCTTGACTCTTCCAAATGGTTAATTAATAAGTACTAACTCGGTTTGGGAAGTGTCCACTCTAAGGAATCTTTAGCTATAGCCTAATTGAAAGTTAGGTGGCCCTCTATTTTTACCTAACAAATTAACAATTCTAAGCTTTTGCTTCATTGGTGAGCTTGTTCAATATTTGTTCGGTTTCTTTTTGGTTATGCATTATCTAATAAAGATAACTTAAATCCCCTAAGGTTAGCCAATTGAGTGCATTTATTTTTAGCCATCGCGACAACGTTTTCCACACCAGGCTGCCGTGCATGGGTAGAAACCTAGACGGCTTTATAATGAAAAAAGCCTCCAAAATTGAATAAAAATGTATAAAGAAAACTAACAACTGATGGTCTTAACGACCTGAAGTAAGCAATGAACCTAACTCACCTCCATCTTTACCAACTATTGTGCACGAAGCCTCCAAATTTTTCTTTTCTGCTTTAGAATATATAATGTTGCACCATGTTGTCGGTTAATGTAATTAATTAATAATATGGTATTAAAAGGGTACGTACTAATTAATTAACTTGATAAACAGGATTCTGCAATTATTATGTTAATGTCCTCATAGGAAATCTTTTCCTTTAATTATAAATTGAACCCCTGTCCTTTACCTTTGATCCTATGAGTTTCTGCTCTTTATTGGTGCTTTGAAGACAATGGAAAGGAAAAATTAAGTTATTCTAAGTCGGGGTTTGGACCTTTCCTATTCTAGGAATATTGCAAATTAGGTTCCCCCAACTCCCCCTCTCCCCTTGTCCAAGCTTCCTATTTGATCGATGCTTGCATCTGCAGTTCGGCCGCATGACGGTGTTGATAATAATTGAGATGGAAACAAAGGCACACTTATAATTAAGTTAGTTCTAAATTAATACAAACTAAGTTTCCTTTTTGGGAGAAAAATATTAAAACAATAGCTAGCACACTTGAATTACGTCTATAGATAAGCCTAGGGGTGGAGTTAGAGTATTTTTGAAAAGGAGGTCAAACAAAAAAAACACTTAACAGTTAAAGAAAACTTTATATGTTATTTAATTTTTAATAATTTAAAAGATACCAAAAAATATTGAACATACCAAAATATATATATTAATAGTAATGATGTTATTATATATATATATATATATCCTCCAAAGCAATGAGAAGCTCCGCCCCTGGATAAGCCTTGCATGCCACTAATTCTTAATGAGTTTTATACTTAAAATGAGTTGGATTCCAATTTACCTTTTTCATATCAATAAAAAGAAATATGCATCTTTTTAATTTATCATATTCATCCATCTATTAGCTTTAAGTGAATTAATTGAAGTGATAATAAAAAATAAAATTGGTATATGCACCAATCTCTCTAATTTATTATATTCGCGTACCTCCTAGTTTTAGGTAAATTTAACTATTTAAATTGACACCAAGACAAATAGGATCTATATTCCATTAAAAAAATTCTAGAAATAATTTTTACCCTTTGTTACTAATTAATGTTTACTCAAATTAGCTCATATTTGAAACTTGTGAAGCCTAGAGACTGCATTTTGGCTAAAAAGGAAAGTATGGGGATAGCGTGTTGCTTTGTAGTTTGTACTCATGATAAAACAAAATATAAAATAATATATATTATCCATCATATCCAATCAATAAATAGAGTAAAAGTTGAAGATTTGACATTAAAAATTGTCTAGTCAATTGTGGCATGCGGTATCATTGTGTTGCAATACAGATTATACTTTCAAGTTGCTATTAAGTAATTGCTCAGAATCAACATATGGCATCAAATTAGATGGTTGTTCAACGATCGATTAGTTCACTAAGGGTAAATAAACAAAATTATGATTAATATATAGAAAATGCATGTCCTCTAATTTTACGGGTATTATAAATTATACAGTAGAAATTAGATTAATAAATGATTTATTAATTATTTCATCTGTAATAAATGATAAATTTTTGATCGGTTGGAGGGTAAAGACTTGAGTGTACAAGGTAAAAAGCAAAGCTCGAACATGGAAATTGATGAACAAGAAAAGTGGACTGGAAATGATGAGACACATTTGACAGAAAAGCCCATCTTATACTTAACCCAAAGCCAAGATTTAGGGAAAAGAAAAGTTCAACTTTTGTTTCTTGTTGTTATGTAAAAATTCCATGCACATTCTTTTGCGGTTGTATTTTCTAATCATGAAAAGTACAAGTTTGTTTCACAATATTGTTCAATGGGTTTGGCATATCCACTGGGAAAAGAGCTTTCAGGTGGAGCCACAGCCATTTCCAAAGGAAACATCATGCCCTTCTCCTCCTTCCTTAAAAAGGCCAAATCTCTAAAGATAAAGATTGCTTGCTCTCTCAGCAATAAACATCGAACACAGCAAATTAAAAACAACTAGTACTAATTAGCAAATGAGAAAATGACTTTGCATATTTAAAAAGCAACTCTTCCCAGTCTTTTCTTTTTTTGTTTGGGGGTGGATTAAAGTAATGCAAGTCATAATGGGAAATGGCCTTTTTCTTGGTCCATGCACTAATATCATTGGGCTGATGATTGACACTTGTCCTTGCTTTTTTGTTGGAAGCTTGGAAAATTATATTATTCTAACCCATTTCCCTTTATTTTCTCCTCCTTAATCCCAAATGATTCCCATTGGTCTATTCTTAAAGTAGCATCAAATTTTATTGGACTAGGCCCACGTGGTTCACGTGGGTTCGACCAATCGTAGTTTCAGGTTTCGAGCAGCTCCCAACCCTAGTCTATATAACTATTAAACAGCCCTTTTTACCCCAGAACTGAAAATGCCGTAATTCTCAGCAGAAGTTGCAAAAATATGGAGTAAAATTTAACAAGTTGTACATGTTAGAGCACGATTAATTCCTAAAGGCAAACTTTCAGGTGCTTTTTGCCTCTGATCATTCGAAGAAGTTAAACCTTTTGTTCTGCCATTGGACAGAACTCCATAACGGGGAGGGGAAGAACAGCATGTACTGGCCAACGCTGACGTTGGTGTCGTCTTCACGTGTTTTTGGCTGCCCATGATCACAGATTTTTGTTCCTGGAATGGAACATCAACCTCGAGCAATGACTACAGCTTACCTGATCGGATATTTAAAATTATCCAAAGTTGAGAAGAATCCTAGGATTGTGTTTTGTGCACATCATACAGCATCACATGCTTTTACAAGGTTAGTGGAGGACATGATCATATATCCGGATAATATGGGTTCAGAATTCGATCAATGGATCATAATGCAAATTAAACTTCATTTGAACGGTATTTTTTTCCAACTTCTGCTTGAAATATAATCATATTATATATATTAATTTTAGAGAAAATTAAGGTTGCTGTGTGCCCTAATACAAGAAAGCTCCTATATCAAATCTGGTCTGGTTTTTCAACCAAAAACTCATCTGAGTTGACATTAACATGTTTTAAACATTTATATAAGATAAGGGTTTCTTTCCCATGTGGGCTAGGACTCTGAATTAATTAAAATGGCTGGCATGGAAGACTTGCTACTATATTTAAGGGAAAAAAAAGTTGAACGTGATTGTTTCCTTTCTTTGGTTTTTTTGTCCTTTTCCTTTCCCATCTCTTTCATGAGGCCATTTTTTTATTTCTTATAACATAGCATAGTTTAAGAGGAGTAATACATTAAATTCATTCTTTACACAACTTCAACGTAATTAATTAAATTATAAATACAAGCATCATAATGTAGAAGTATTATATATATAGTATGTTCCAAAAGTGGATATAGATCACTGTTTTAAGCCATTGTGGTGCCATTATCTGCCCAGATGAACCTGCATTTATCATTATTTTATTGATTTTAAAATTGTAAAGTTGCCATCCAACGCAACTTGCATTACCTTTAGTGGCATAGGACACTGGATTGTTTGACAGATTGCCGCAAGTGATGGATCTACCATGGATATTCACAAGACCATCATCATCCCAAAAAGGAAACATAAATTTTATGATGCAGTTCAATTAGCAAGCTGAACCAAAAAAATTGACTTGAATTTAATCATATGTAAATGAAGCATTTGCAAAGATGATAAATTTTTTCTTATTTTAAGTACATCTTTTTAAAGATGCTACAATCTACCCTAAGGTGTAAATATATAAATATAAATATATATATATTTCAACAAATGCATTTGAAATCATGAAAATGAAAAGAAAATACATAAAAGGAATATGCTTTTTCATTTTTAAATTTTTCAGATTCAAGTAGGACCTCCTATATGTATTGGTATAATTATTTGTTCGATTGACAGAAGGTGCAATGGGAGGAAGTCAGGAAGATATTAATCATGTTTTGATGTTATAGACCTGATTGTTAATTAAATTAGAGGTATATGTATTTTTATTATGAGGCATTTCCTTCATATAATGCATCTGTGTTGTAGATTTGGGCTAATACTATACAACGAAGTAACTTTTCTTTTCATTTATAAAGAAAATCCATTTCTTGACAAGATGAAATGTATGATTAAGAGTCTTCTCAATTAATTAGTTTAATCGTACGGTTTAATTTGTTGTACATCTTCCACCTAATTATTTTTAAAGTACCCAAAGACTTGGGGTTGTAAGAGAGCATGATTACATCAAATTTTTAATCTACATAATTAAATGAAGAATGCATTAATTATGTATCTGCTTTTATGATTTATTTTTTTAATATAAATTCATAAAAATTAATATTATTAAAATCTTAGACCTCTGCCTTAAGAAGATAATTACAAACTTATATGGGTGTATATATGCTTGTATATGTCATATGACACCGATTATATGTCCCATTCAATAATATAACTATATTCTTTTTGTACATTATATAGTTATCTTTGATGATAAACATTGTAGTTACAAATAAACAATGGCTACATTAACATATTATGTATCAGCTTGATATAGCAGTCACATCTTACCTCGTAGGAGAAGAAAAACTAAGAGATTTGGAGTTCAAATCCTTTTTCCAATTTTAATAATAGAAAGAAAAATAAATACATAAATAATAATAAGGAAAGGGAAGTATAGAAACATCACAAGCAGACTAAACATTAGCATAATTTATAATTCTGCGTATAACGAGTTATACTTGATAAAAAAATTTAAGTTTTCTCTTAATTTAAAAGTTAAACGGAGAAATGAGTGATTTGAAATTGAAATCTCATTTTAAAAATAATGCGTGATTACCAAAAAGTATATATGCATTTTAAATGAATTGTCAGTTGATTATGACAAAAGGATAATAATTTTGTCGTCATACATAATTTTGATTATATTTTTTTTATACAGACAGCTGGATTCATAATCATTATATTTTGAATCACTTGAAAGCAACTTATATAAATAATTATTCATCATATTTAACTCTAAACCGAACATAATGAATGAATTATACATATCGAGAAAGAGCATCCTTATGATTTTATTGCATCCTTGTCACATTCACGACTTCCCCCACACTCCAACCTTCACCTTCTTCCCCTTTTTTATTTTTAAAGAACACATTTCTCCTTTCACCCCTTTTGATATTGACTAATCTCTAAAAAAAGAAGCAAGAGTCTACCTATTGGCACTAAAGGCAACATGTGATTTACTTTAAAAACATAAGAATACATTTACCGATATAATTATTGCAAACCAATGACTTTTTAACAGAGCAATCATATTTAAACTCCATTAAGGTAGCTCAAGACCCTCCTAAGAATTATTGTCATATTTAAAAACTTTTTTATAGATACAATCAATAATTAAAAGTTTGAATAACATAAGTTTGCTTAATAATAATAAATCATCAAGATGTCATTCCAACATGATGTGCTATATTTTCCTTTGTTATAATTATTTATGCTATGGATGATAAATTAATGCTTATGAGTATGAATTATCTCCATCTTATCTCTACCTAAACAAGAGGAAGGAACTCCCAATTTTGTACAAATTCCCACGTAGGGATTTTCTTGATGGAGGAGTAGAAAGATTTGTGCAAGTTGAGTGTCGCTAAATCTAATGCTTTAATTTAATAGATCCGAAGATCTATAGGTGGGTTTCAGATGAGCTGATGGGTTGACAGTGCCACAACCTGGGAACTTGGTTTGTCAGAAACTTAAGGAAGAAACACAGAGGATCAGGTGCCTGTTCTTACTGACAAATTATATAGTGGGAAGAAAAACATATTTCAGGATCCTTGGCAACATCAAAAGTTTTTGGATATTTTCGCCCTGAAACTGGGAGTTTTTGAGTGCCGCTGCACGACCTCCAATTTCCTAATTAGGAAACCTTAAAAACTTAAAAATGGAAACCCCTTTCCCATCCTCCACATCTTTTTCTGACACGTGGTGGCGCACCCAAGTCAGCCAGTTTAATGACCCAAATCGCCCCTGCCTTCCCATTCAATGCCAGATATGTTCCTGTGCTTCAGCTGAAATGACGAGGATGTCCTCAGAAAAATTATGGGAGAGTGGTTTTCCACGTAGAAAAAGCGCAACATCACGGTAGGAAATGACAGGCATTATCATGGCAATAGCATATTATCTTTCATATCTTTTCAAGTGAAATTACATGGTCGTCAGCTTTTTCGTGACTCTCGCCTTTGATTTGACTTAAACTAAATTGGAACAATACCAACGCCATTTATTTTGCCTGTTCGGTGCTTTTTTTACCCCATATGTTTTACTAATTTTTTTTTCATTTAATTTTTCTAAGGTGGTGGGCAGTGGGCTAAATGTCTAAGCAGTTGCTTTAATTGGATGACTTTGATGCTTACTTAGGAAGACATGGATTGTGGCTTGACAAGTTGCCAAATAAATCCAAACATCCTTTTACCCATTTTGAGAAAGCATTTTGTAGAGCAGGCGAAGCTTGGTTGGAGCAAACTGTTGAGAATTTTGTTTGATGTCACCCAATAAAAGGATCAATCTTTCTTGCAGGAGGTCAAGGACTGCTATAAATCTAGCCAACAATAGCTTTGTCCAACAACTTCAAGACACTTTCTTAATCATCATACATTATCCCACAAAAAAAAATGACTATGAATGAATCAGACCTAAAGATCAAAATCACAGACCTAATTCTGTTAGATTGACTTGTTAATAGTTTCCATTTCAATATCTATCGTTTTTGGGTCATTTGCTTAACCTTAATGGTTAGCTCATACATCCTTTTTAATAAAACGGTTTAAGATATTAATCATAAACACCGTTGTCTATATATATATATATAGGCCTAATCTTTCTTAAATTGATTGTCATAGTACATATCTGAATATATAAAAGGTTTTGGCATGCACCACTTGCTTTTTTCTTTTAATTATTAACGATCAAAAGTTGATTTAAAATCAAAGTTAATGTTTGATTATCTACCCTTTCATTATTCTAAATCAATCTTGTGCATATATATATTATTTGAATTTCACTTTCATTAGAAATGGGAGATTAAGGGCTACTTATTATTAATATTCATTATTAGCTTGTAAATTTTGCACCAACAGTAGATTGAATTTAAACCAAATAAAACAAAATCAGAATTGATGTATTTACTTTTCAAGCTTATAAAATGACCACCTGCATTTTTAATGACAAAAAGAGTTTATTAAAGCTAACAAATTTGAATTGAACTGCACAGAGTTATTGAATTTTTGAAGAACCGTACCCAATAAAGGAGAAGAAAAGAAAAAAGAAATGGAAGCCAATTGACTTCTTGGTAAGTCTTATAAAACTGAATAAATCATATATATATATTTATTTATTTTTTGCATTTTCACGCAATGTTTACTGGTGCTCAAAAATAAAATAATCAGGTGGTTGTCCTTGACAATGACAGCCTCCTCTCCAGCGCTGTCACTTTAGCCCACCACTCCCACAGCTGCACCGGGGGACACAACGGCCATTTTAAAATTTAAAGACACAAATTCGAATTTTATTGAAAAAAGAAGATTTTCCCCAAAATAGGAAATACGGGTCGACCCACGCGTCGATCATCTATAAGGGGGACGGCTCTTTTCCCCCCAAATCAAAGCAATTAAACAAATTCTTTCGACTCCTTATTGGTCCACGTGCCCCTAGTCCCATCGAAAACCACCAGCGGCTTCTACCCCAAACCCGGCGGTTTTGCTTCCTCCCCTAAAACTTTCCTTATATAGATGGTTTCTGCTGATGATAGTCAAGACCAAAACGACGTCTCTGAAAACCTCAGTTTGTCTCCTTTCTCCCGTTTCTCACTGCCTCTCCAAGTAAGTTTTTTTTCCCCTTTTCTTTTCAAAAATAAAAAGCGAAAAGAAAAACACTAAAACTCCAATTCTTTTTGTTTTTTTTCCGTCTGTTTGTTTTTTGCCAAGCTTTTTATCATACCTCCCCCTTTATCGAACATCGAGAGTTAATTTTTTTTTTCTTATTCATTTTTTTGTTTGAATAAAGAAGATTAATTGTTGAGTACTGCCGAGCTAAGGCTATGGGGAGAGGGAAAATAGTGATAAGGAGGATCGATAACTCGACGAGCAGACAAGTGACGTTTTCGAAGCGAAGGAACGGATTGTTGAAGAAAGCGAAGGAGCTCGCGATCTTGTGCGATGCTGAAGTCGGAGTAATGATCTTCTCCAGCACTGGAAAGCTCTACGATTTTGCTAGCACCAGGTCCTTTTAAGATCTCTTTTATCATCATGATTATTTTGTTTTCTTCACGCTTATCATAATTTGTGATGCTGGCCAGCTATTGTTTTGTTAGATGAGATTTGTATGTTTTTTTCCATAAAAATTTTGCTATATATATATTTATTTATTTATTGTTAAATGTGACATAAAAACGGGAGCTTAAGGTTTAAAAGATTAAAGGAAATTTGAATGCAAGAGTTATAGTTTTGATTTTATGATTTTATGACTCAAAAAGAGTTTCGATTTTACTGTTCGTTTAGTTAGAGTTGCCTTTGATTGTTCATCGTCGATTGGATATCGTTTAGGATCTGGTTGAGTTCTTAGAAAGTGTTAAGTGAGCGTAGCTAGTTTTATATCTTGGAGTACGGTTACTGGTTAGAGAGATGTATATTGTATCCTAGTAATTTCAGTTTGCTAGTTGACTTCGAGGCTTTCTACGAAGACTAGCCATGGCTGATGGAAGGTTTCCATACAAGTCGAGTATACTGAATTAATTACCTTTGTGAAATTTCAAGTTGGAGTTCAAGCGCTAAGAAGAATTATAGCTTTGCTTTGTTAGAGTATAATAGCGGACACGAGCCATGACTTTTTTGCATGGTTAAGATTAGAAGAATTCAAATTGATGTAGCTTTGTTAATTATAATGCGCATGGTTGAAAAAATAAAGAAAATAGGAGTTGAATGTCACCTCTACAACACTGTTACTTATTGAATTCCTATCAGTTGAAAAATGAAATTTCTATCAGTTGAAATGACCTTAAATTATTACTCTTTTCTTTTCTTCGTAAAAAACACCAGATATAACCAAGAAAACACCTAAAGTTGTAGGAAAAGAGAGAGAAAATAGAGGATTTGCATTGCAAAACTAGACAGATTCGTCTAATGCAAGGGTTCCAACCTTGCTATTTTTGAATATTTAGACTGATATGCAGCTCAAGTCTTTGAATAACCGATAGGAAACCTTTGAATCTCAGGAGAAAAAGATCAGGCTAGGGAAATCTCAACCCCAAAGCTAGGTCGCCAATTGTCATGAAAAGGAAAGAAAAATGAAGCTAAAGAAGGGGAAGAAGAAAAATTACGAATAGATAAGTGTATCTAAAGTGTTCCATCATAAAATTTGTGGAATAATGACATTGCAGTATTGTTTGAAAAGTTTGATAAACAAAGTTTAAACATTGATTGAGCACAACTTTGAGATCCGTCCTATACTGAAAAATATAAATGTCAATCGAGCATTGTACTAAAAATGGTTCTTAAAATTTCCCTTTAAATATGACTCATGAATATCCATATATTTTAGAGGTAGTATTATGTGTAAAGAGGCTGGATGGTTAAGAAGTGAAAAAGTTTGCTAGCAATTGGGGAAAAATGGTGGTGGCAAGTTGATTAATTTAAGGAGGATGGCAGAATTGGGCATATATAGATATATAACCCATATGAATTCAAAGTCAAGTGTCATAGAGGGATGATATAATTGTTGGTGATGATGGATAATGGCACACTGGGTGAGGCTGTTGCCACAGTTTGATCAGTGCAGAGATAGCAAAAGCAAGGCTTGTGGTATTAAGAGGTCATTATAAGCAAATGGGAGGATATAGTAGTAACAAATTGCCTGTGTTTGCTTTTGAATAAGATATAAAAAAACATAATTTCTTGTTGGGATTTTTCAAACGCTAAAGAAAGAATGGGAGGAGGAGGAAAAGGAGGCAATTGAAATCGTTATAACCGTGAACTCAGTGGAAGAAAACAAAAGACAATTCAAAATATTGAAACTTTAATTAGGAATGAGGTAACTAAAATTCTTTCCTTAATAGTGCTTTGTTATTCAATTAAAAATCATTTTGTTTTATGATTGCATAGGCTATGAGGTATTTTATACTTGAAATATTTTTTAGGTTTTTCAACTTAGCTACAATTTTTATTCACTAAACGTATGAAAAAAGAGGCAATACTATTCCTAAATTAGCACAAACAATTGATAATCGAAGATGCTGTTTTCTGGTATTTTACAAGGTTAGTAGTTCCACTTGCATCGAGAGTGATACTCTGAAATGCAGCAAGTATATTTCCTAGAACAACGGGCAGTACTGAAAGTTGTCGGCAAAACCCAAAAATAATTAGCAATGAAAATAGAATAAATTTCTAGGTAAATTTCCTTAGGCCAGGTTTACAAATTAAAATTACAAAAGAAAAACTAAATAATAATTCAGAACCTATGAAGTAGTATATCCTATTCTGTAGACCAACAATATATATAAAAAAAATAATAATGATATTTAAACATAAAACAATCTTTTTAGTGATTAATAAACAATGGAAAACTTATTAAGAAATTTATTTAAATTTATAATACATTTAAAAATTATTATTTGATCGCTTGGACTTTTGTAACTATATGTGACACATATTTAGAGCAAGGCTATAGGTTTTGATAATTAATTTAAAATATTATATAAATGATTTGGAAATCCAAGGAGCTTGATATATATAAGAAACTTTATTACTTAAACAAAATGAAAGAAACTTTATGTATGTTTTAGGTACAATTTGTTCATTGTCAAGTTTTCAATGATAAACAATAATACTTTTCCACCTTCAGTTACTCTATCCATTAGCTTATTGTAGGAGATCAAAATAATGCTGATCAGTTTTCTAAAACTTTTTAGAGAATATTTTGATAAAGGAATGAGATTGCCATAATCACTCCTTTCAGAGAATATTTTGATTAAAATAAAAAAGAACTCCATGACATAAACCAAATCTGAATTGAACTGTATATCTTATCCTAGGTACTAGGGTTTCATCATAAGAGTGATTAATTAGGGCTTTTTAGTTCGTAGGTGGTAGACAATATAAACCTAGGAAAAAGGAGTAACTTCAAACCCTAAGTTTCAAGGTGGATCGAGAAAGCTGCATGCACCAAGGTCGACATGAGCCTTGTTTACTAGCAGCTGCTGGATTGGAAACATATACACTATCTTTGAACTGTCAAGCATGAATGCATGCTGTTCCTAGAGTGGAAAATTTTCTTGGAAACTTTTTTTTTTGTTTTTTAATTTTATTGGTAAATATGAGGGGGCACGAGACAATAAGGATTTAAACTTTGCACCTCACAAAATTTTGACAACATTCTAAATAAAATAAAAAATCAAACCCACTGATTTTTTCTTTTTAAATAAAACTCTAAATCATAAGAATCCTTATCCATCTAAAATCTCAACTTTCCTTAAAAAAAAGGGTGCAGCGTGGAACATTCATATGTAAAACGTAAATTTATATTATGGATAATTAGTTAGGCATTCACTTTCTTTTCATTGTCATAAGCATTATAAAATGGACCCCTAAGAAGAGATAAGAACTAATCATCTTCATGACAAAAGCTAAGTTGCTCCTGTAAAAGAAAGGAAATACAATAGAAAAGAATCATGCATGAATCTTTTACAATAACATAGCTTAGCACCTTAACACATTGGAATAAACTAAGGTGATTTATCGACCACAAGACTGATTACTGTAAGATCCTCATGAAATTTAATATTGGAAAGATATCCATCTTATAATCAGAGAAATGTAAAGAAATTCTTTACTTACATTATTTAAATATAATATCTTTGCCCCAAGAAAATGGCTGACATGGACGGGTTTCCAAACACATTCACCACTCGCCCTTTGTTTATTATATCTCGTCTAACTCAAGTCCTCCCTTTTGCCATTCTTTATTAATACTTTTGAAACTGTTTGGAATAATTGAATGCTTTCCCTACGATTTCCTTGGATATGGCGGCTGATCAGCATTCTCAGTAGCACAAAGTTCTTAAGCGTCTTAGCTGGTGAAGTACTGCCAACCTAACTTTCTATATTTCGTCAAAATTTTTGGATGGTGGATTCTTATATTATGCAAAGCAAAGTGTAAAATAGGTCCTTTGTGATCTCTAGGAAATCTCTTATTTGAAGCCCTTTCTTTTTCTTAATCCATATATATATATATATAAAGAATCATATATCCACATTTATATTAATATCCTCTTTGATAAAGAAGAATATAGAATATTTTTCCTTCATATAAATCTGAATATTAAGGAAACTTATCTTTAGCAAATTGGCCTATAATTAACTTAGTATTAAAGCCCTATGCTCCTCGTATCAATTTCTTTGTATGTACTGAAGGAAAATTTGATTGAGTCAGTATATATTTTTTGGATTATTTATATCGATAAGTGTTTTTTTATTGAAAAATATATATATGGAAATTACAATTATAACTAAACAACTTTTGAAATATGTGGTTGAAGAAATAGATTAACTAGCCGAATAAATAAATTAATGTAACATTAGATGAAATCTTCACACAACTAGACTTGAATCTAACACTTAAAAATTCCAACAATTCTTCTTTATCACTGATTCAAGGTTTCATTGGTACAGTAAGTGTATAGCATAGCACAAACTTTAATATGTAGTTAGAGTCAAATCAATATTTTGATTAAATATTTTCTTTCCAACCTTCTCATTAGTATACAATCCTAAATTATGCTTCAAGATAACCATCAACATTTCCTCCGGAGGGCGCATGATGATTACATTATTCTTTACATTTTGCCAAAGTATACAACTTTTTAGTGTTGTGAAACTAGTGTCTAGTCTAACTAACTATTATTGACAAAGAGAAGGTTAGGGGGAAAAAGAGAGGAAGTGGAGGGAGATTGGGGGTCGAGGGGGAGAGTGAGAGTTCTTTGAGTTAATAAGAGATAATTATGTCTCACCTTATCCATGGTTTCACTTTTTCATTTTTTATTATTTGAAGTTGAGATTTTTAGATTAAAATTCTCAAAATTTTTAACTATTTGGATGAGCTAACAATTTTTAATTAAGGGTTGGAGGGCAAGGGGAAAGACTTATACACATTGGATGAGGGAATATATACAGTGATTTCTTCGAGTTATTAAGAAAAATTTAAAAATTCATGCTAATTATATTGTCCCAAATATGTTAAATAAAGTTACCAAAATAATTATTTGAATTTATGTTTTCATTAAATTTTAACATACAACATTGATTTTTACATGGACCAGCCTCTAAAATTAACTTGAAAGTAAAATTAAGTTTAAAATTTAAATAACGTTAGCATTACTACATTTACAAAAGGAAAAAGGAAGCAAAGCTAACCCATAATATATATATATATTCAAATAGGTATCAACTTGAATATTATCGAGCATTGTCGGAGAAACCATATGCTACCTGTAAGCCAAATGCATATGTAAACCTTCAATAACATTGACATAATAACAAATTAAATTATGTAAATCTTTGCTAACTATAAATGATGAAGACCAACAATTTTAAGTGAATGATATACTGATTTAAAGAGGAACAAGTCAAATTACAAAGAATGTGAGATAGCAACTAAAATTACACGTGAGCCTTTAAAAGATATCTTAATTTGGATAAGAAGATTGTTATATATTCCTATTCACAAGAAAAATAAAGAATGTAGGGTCTATTTGATTTACCAACAACTTAGGTTTAGTTTTTGAAAGGGAAAATTACTTATACCCTTTTAGGTTTTTATCTTCATTTACCTTGGATTCATTAGTGTTCAAAATACACTTCATTCTAAAACCCTATTAGGTGTTAACAAATGTTATAAAATGACTAAAATACCATTAAGATAAAAAACCATCAAAATGTTTTTTTTGAAACTAAAGATTTGAGGTTGCTTCAACATTGATCTTGTCCATGAGTTCCGTGACACCACTAGGCTAGGCCATCACCAACTGAAACCTTGGTTGCATTCACATTCTTAGTTTTGTCTCTTCTTTGCGGTTCACTAATTTGATTATCTGCACCTCTTTGGGTGGAATATCTATTTTGAATACTCATGAATACTAATGGATTCAAAATGAATTAAGATGAAACTCCATATGTTGTTAACAAATGTTAGAAAATGAGTAAAATATTATTGAGATAAAAAACACCAAAAAGTCTTTTTTTTTTTTTAAAAAAAAGAGATTTGAGGTTGCTTCAACATCAATATTGCCCATAGCTTCGTCTGCACCACTAGGCTAGATGTCACAATCCTAGCCGTAAGTCATGAATCCCACATCAAAGAAATTGTCACACTTAGGAGTCACGAGGATGTTACATTTCCAACAAAAACCCATGAATCCCATCAAGATAAGATGTCATGGTTCAAGAGAGTCATGAATTTCGTATCAACTTAATACTAAAGTAAGATTAAGTATTTAAAGATTTACATAATCTTCAAATTGTGAAACATTTTTTGTGGAGTATAACCATGAACCCAACGCATCGAAACAAACAAGACCTTACAAGTTAATATAAATTGTGACAATTAGTATCAAGATTAATGGGCTCTTGCGACTATGCATAAGAATGAAATTAAATATTTAAAAGTTCATACCATAACTTGTTAGATTGATATACCTAAATGAAATTGAATATTTAAGAGTTCATACTATCTTTTAACTTGTGAGACTCTTTTGAGGAATGAAATTGTGAGATCAATGAGTCAAAGTAGACAATACCTGACGATTGTATATTACAGTGAAACTGGACATTTTAAAGCTCATATCATAACTTGTGAGGCCGATATACTAGAATGAGACTAAACACTTAAGAGTTTACACCATTTTCAACTTATAAGATAAAATTGTGAAATTAACGTATTAAAATAGACAATACCTTACAAGTTGATGTAGATAAAGACACTAAGCCATCATTGACCAAAACTTTAATTCCATTCACATTCTTAGCTTTGTCTTTCCTTGTGGTTCATTAATTTGATTATATTCACCATTTAGAGTTTCATTTTAATTTATTTTAAACATTTCACCTCAAAAAAATATATATCATAAAACACGTAAGTATATGAGGTTGTAAGATTGTAGCACAAAATGAGCTTAGCCCATGGATAACAAGAAGAAATGCAAGAGTGTGATAGGAGACTGTTGAGTTTGAAAATTAACCTTGTACAAACCATAAAAGTCCTTTTGAAACACAAGGAAATGCAAGAGAAAAGAAAATCACCTCACAAGGATATAAGCGACTCTACTTCGAGGTATACATCATCAAGGTCTACATGGTTGTTATCTTTGCCAAATCAAGTCCCTTTTTTTTTTTTTTGCTGAGCTGAAATTTTTATTGAAATACCGCACATGATTCAAAAGTCAGAGTCCTGTAACCCCAAATTGCCCACACAAAGGATCCAAAGCAAAACTAAAAACAATACAATACAAACACCAATAATTACCCAACAAAACATCTAGCTTATAGGTTAAGATACAGACAATCCCTAAAACAAACCAAAGCAGAACTAACTTCTACCATAACAAAAAGATACAATACCCAACATTAAAAAAAATTACCATACCAACACCAGGCTACAAACCTTTCCTTTCAATCAACACCTATTTGTCAAGAGAATCAACATACTTATTAGCTTCCTTATCTGGTTTCTTAGAACACCTTCCTCTCCCAATGGACCAGGCATTCCTTTGAGTATGACCATCAACCTTAAGTAGAAGAAAATCAATTTGGGCAGATTTCCATTGGATGCCCTTTTTGCATAGTGAATGCTTTGAAACAATATGCGTTAGCTGAAATTCTTTAATCCGTACACCATATTTTACTTTTGAAAGTGGTTTCATTTCAAACCCTCCATAGAGACCACAGGCAGCCCTGCAAACCAAACACCATTGTTCCTTACATACCACATGCCCTACCACACACAACCCAACATTCAAAAGTAAAACCCCAACAAATCCAGCTCCAAAAAACAGCACATGAACAGTTGATAACAGTCATCAAGGGCAGAATGACACAAGGGGCATTGACATATCTCATCCAAAAAAATACAACCCCTCCGTTGGAATAACCTTTTGAAGGAAATAAATCCAGAACATGTAAACTATAAAAACCGTTAAACGAATGAGGAAACCTTGATAGACTCAATTGTTCAGATGGTGTCATCAAGCACCCTTTAAAGTAAATCATGAGAGCAAGAGAGAGCTTTTATACTAGAGAGTACCGAACTCATTAAATTTCCTAAATCAATCAGTCCTTGGTTGCACACGTCTTAGGATAATCAATAGTTGATCAAACACTCATTTTTCCAATTCCAAATATCTCTTCAAAAGTTAATTTGCCAATTGGAGTTAGACTTCAAGGAAAAACTTTATCACTGTAGCATTCTTATTCCTAACAGCCAAAACCAGACAAAGAAATAACTCATTCAAAGGTCAATCCTCTAACCAGTAGGCATGCCAAATTGAAAACATTCATCATTGCGTGATACCCTACCACATGCCTTTTTGTCAATAAAATTTTGGACCCCCCCCATGTTTTAGATACTAACAATATCCCTTCACATTTTAGACAACACTCTAAGATTCATCAAATCAAAATCTCAACATGGCAACACATCTTGATAAGGACATCATTTGATCGGACCAGCTTCATTCCCAGGTTCCAATTCTAAGAATTCTCATCTTGACAATACGAACAAAAACAAACCCCCTAACTTCAAAAATAAACAAAAATAGATCACCAATCAACAAAATAACCAACACTCCAATGATTAAAACATCGCCAAAAAACAATAGCAACAAAGCCAAATAAAACCCAAATAGACTTAAACAAATCATAGCACCAAGACACCAAACAGATTGAACCAATGTTCATAACAAATCCAAAGCAACAACACAAAACCAAAACTTACCCAAACAAGGATTACACCATCTGAGCCAGGGAGACTCCTTTCAATTTCTTCAATTTATCAATTATCAATTCCTCACTTAAGTTGGCAACTAACCCAAGTTTCTTGCCGAGGCTCCTAATCTCCTTTGCCTATTCAAGAATTAATATTTCTATTTCTAAAGTATCCATCCGATAGAGAAGCATTGGCCATCTTTGAATTTTCAGCAGCTGTAACTTGTATCGTATGTTTTCTTCCATGTTTGCTCTTACCCTTCCTTTTCAGTACCTTTCCCTTCTTAATCTCCCCTCAATTTCAATTAGAAGGCTTTATATACAGTTCTTGAGTTCAGCAGACAAGGTAGCAGAGACAAGGATAGATCTTGTTGGAATTCCACCAAATCAATGGATTTAGGGATACAAATTGGTTCAATCTGCTCAGACAAGCCCTCCTCTTTTCTTTCCAAGCCTAATACTGAAATAGGCCGAACATACACCATAATCGGCCCAGCCTTTAAGATCTCAGAATTCTCCCACCACCCCTTTTCCTTCTGCAGATTTCTTCTCTTTTGCTAGTACTCCATGCCATCTAACAACCATCAAATGCTCCAATATTTCCAAGACATTTGCATCAGAATTAAGGTTGGCTCCTTGATTCCTCCGAATAGCACTTGAAGCATCTTTGAAATTTGAATACATCTCCAATTTTTCCTCCATTGGACTCTGTTCTAACATATCCACACACTCCATGTCAGCATTTGATGTGACTTCAACATTGTCATCAACCTCCATGATGATGCATGGACTCTGCAGGGAACTAAACACTCCTTCTCTACCCCACAATGAGGAACAAAACCCTCCTCCACTGGTAATTCACATCCACGAATAAAATACATCGTGTTTGCAATTTCCAACTCAACAACTTCATCAATGCATTCCATTTTGTTAGTGGAGATAAGCATCGCGACATAAACTGAAATTTTCAAAATTAAGTGTTTTGGCTTTAATGGAGATCAATTCTCCCCAACCATTAATGATATTAAAAAAAGTGTTGTAATTCCATGCATGAGCAGGTACACCATAAGTTGCAATCCATTTTTGTCAGCACTTGACAGTGAAATTTGCAGATCACACTTCAACTGAAGTGAACAAGTTATTAAGCCAGTCCCAATCTTTTTCTTTCAGCTCATCAAACATCATTTCATCACTAAAGGAAGTAAGAAAATTCTTTGGTCCTAGTTTTCTCTCATGTAAACCAGAAAAACCATCAATTCTAAACTATTCCATAAGAACCTTAGGATCCACATAATAATCAATGATGGTCACCACACCCATTTCAAACCAATGTAAATTTATCTCTAATTTCACCCACACATCATTTCGCTGATTGAATGTTGCATATATTTGCAGTATATGAATTTGAGAGCTTGTTTGCTAATTCTTTCTCACCATTTAGCACCTGTGCATAGGATAATTTGCTACTTTGTATTGAAATCTACTTTTGGACACCACTACCATACTCACTTCTCACTTCTGTAATACCATTACCTGATAGTTCTAGTAAACCATTTCCTAGTTGTTCAGCATTTCGTTTTTTCCAATAAGACACTCTGCCACCAAATCTGGCAATATTCACCCCTATTCTCTGGTTCAATAACCAAGCCCCATTGAATCTTGAAACTACCCTTCTAGCATCAGAAAAAACTAATATGTGACAAAGCCAAATTTTTTCCCCGTCTTGCTTCCTTTCTTCACAATAAAAATATCCACCACTGTACCAAATTGTTGAAAGATTTGTCTGAGCCATCTCCAATGAACTCTAAAAGGCAATTATTGACAAAGACTATGGTAATCCTATTACTACTTACCGGAGCCAGCATTTTAGTACTTTGTAACCATCGTCTAGCACATCAACATCTCTTCCAAGACATTCAATTGGCACTTTCTGAATACATTGAAAATCAAAGCTGTTTTCATTCTTTTACCCCTGTATCCCAGTAGAAAATCTGCCAAATCAGTATCTATGTGACCAAGAATGAAAATTCATGCTAAGTTGCCACTTACTGAACCTTTTTTTTTTTTTTTGTACAGAGGTTACAAATTTGTTTTTGAGTTGTGTAAAAACTCATTTTCAAACTCATCTAGAATATCAAGCATGAGCTTATTTATGACATCACAATTAAAAGTATCTAACTTTCTAAGAAACTTTGAATGCATAATTATGAGAAAGTTTGCTCCTAAGGGTAAATCGACTCTATAAGATGTGGTTTTGTTTAGAAAAATGCTAAAAACGCTGAATTTTTGGGAGACAAAAGAAAAGTTCAAGATATTTACATCTTTTATCACTATGATCGGACCACTTTTGGACTTAAAACTTTCAACCCAAATAACACAAGTTGAAGTTAGAAAGGGACAAATGGCTCTAGCATCAAGAAACCACAGTGCAAGCTCAAAAGCCTATAACCCTTTGGTGAAAATTTGCTTGTACTGAAACACATATATGAGGTAGCTTTTGGAAAAGATTAATGGAAAGGTGATTATAACACAAATTACTTTGCACATATGGTTTCCATGGAAAAGGGGGAAGATGAGTTTGGGATAAAAAAAAAACTGATAGTAAAAATTAGTGACATCTTAAAGATATAAATGAAATAATATCTGTTTCAATAGCCAGCTTATGACAAAAAACCTCAATTAGATAGCAAATAAACATGTATATGTTGAGGTCATTACGTCAGACAAGCACATCTTTTATGTCGATAGTTATGGGAAAGAATCATGGAGATCTAACATATAACAATGGGATCAACGATCCTTTCTCAAAATGACTGACAATTTCAGCAAGACAGATAACCTCTTCTTTAATAATAGTAAGACTCAAAAACAAAGTGGGGTGGAAAGGCAAGGCAGTAAAGTAGAGACTGACAGAATACAATTTACTTTACCAAGAACGCAATCTGTGTAGTTCAGATGTTATGGTTGAACAGCCAAGTACAAGATTAACTAAAGCGAGAATGAAGGAGAAACAACATTCTGACTAGTCAAGACTTGAATTACCTATTTAACCAAAAAGAAAACTTACTTTTAGAATTACAACTTCAACTGTTCTGCTCACCAGCTAATTTATCTTTCTGGAAGGGAACTGTCATTGACTAATATAATCACAACTTTGTGAGAAACAAGAATTTAAGATACACTAGGAAACGAGATGATTTTAGAGAGAGAGAAAGGAAGACAACAAATGTGGTTAAGCTACAGAAGCTATCATTATACTTTCTAGAGCCCCATGTGTGGTGATTTTTAGTGTATGTTTATCAGCATTTTTCTCTGTTTTTCTTTTCTCTCCTGTAAGCATTTAGAAATTACAGAATGTCTGATGCAATTCAAATCTCCTCTTGCCAGCATGAGATCAGTAATTGAGCGATACAACAAAACAAAGGAGGAACATCAGCAACTGGGGAACCCAACCTCTGAAGTCAAGGTATCGTTTAGTACTTGATCCTCAATTTCTTTGTATTTTACCTTCAGAGCATGCTCACTATGTAATTTTATTATTAGTGAATTTGCATGCATTTAGCTTCTACCAGAAAAAAGGGGTAAGATTGCAATGTTAATAAATTTCCAGTCATTGGACCAAACTTTAAAAAAGCATACCTGGAAATGTGATGTGCAAAATTCAACATCCCTAACTTTGCATATGCTGTTTTCTCTGAACAAATAGGAGCAATAGAACAAGACACCATTTCCTTTGTTTTTTGCTTCTCCAGATTGGCAGTAGGTTGAAGGTATTGTGCAAAATGCATGCAAAATTTTATAGCTAGACGTTGGTTTCAGGTCAAAACTAGATTTTATGCAATTATAGACAAAGTTGACAGCACCACAACCTGATAGATAATAATGATACAAATACAAACCATAAACTCCTCTTCTGGCTGTTGGAATAGGAATGACTTAATTGCATGCATAAGCTAAATTGCCATGCTAGGACTCTGTCTTTCTCATAGCCACAGGGTGATGGAAACAGTATCAATAGATATAAACTGGATGATATCAAGGAAAAGAAAATGGGGCCTAAGGGGAACATTAGCAAAATGAAAATGCTAGGAAGCAAATAATTAGCCTTAGGTGAGACCATAGACATTAAATAGAAATCAGTTTGAATAACCCAACACTTCACTTTTTCCAAAGTAAGGTTACACAACATTTCAATTAACTTCAGTTTATGCATCACATCAAATCATACCATAATCTTTATAAAAACTAAGCCAGTTCCCACTCAAACTTATGCTTAAGATGTATCTAAAAACCATTTTTGGTCATATAGCCACCACAATCCTCCTTTTTCTGGGCTTGGGACCATGTAATTTGTATAAAATACAGGCAGAGTCACCATATACCATGGGAAAGTTCCCAATGATATATATGATAAAGGAGTGAACTTACAGGCACAACCAGCAAAACATTTTTTGCAACGGATAAAATAGAAAAACCATGATGAGATGATGAATGTATGAGCCTAGAACATCTTTCTAGATGTGCTAGAGAGGATATATTTTAAACAATAAAAATTAAAAGGGAGGGTGAGGGTGGTTATAAAGCTCAACCCCCTAGAGAATTGAACAGTTTGTGCAGGTCTTAGTTCTAATCAGTAAGATACCTTCCAATGACAAGAACATCAAGTAGGTTTTTCTGTTGTCAACCCTAGAAGTGGAGATTTAGGGTCGAAAGTTTAGGGTTTAGGGTTTAGGGTTTTACTGTTGTCAACCCTTGAAGTGGAGATGTTTGGTAGGAGGGATAGAGGAGGGAAGGAAAAGAAGTGGAAGGACAATAGTGTTTCTTTTGTTTCCTTCATTTGGTAGGAGGGAAATAGGAGGGAAGGAAAATGGATGGATTGGCACCTTTCCTTTCTCTCCGCATCTATTCCTTCCAAATAGGGAGGAAAACACCCTTTCTACTTAAGTTTATCATTTTATTTATAATTTTACCCCTAGTCTCCATCTCCCTCTGTTTTCTATCTTTCATACCAAACACAAGGAAGGAAAAAAAAAACTTCACTTTCTCTCTTCAATTTTTTCTTTCCTTACCTTTTTTGACTTCGCTTTATTTTCTTTCCTTCCTACCCAAATAGTGTATAGTCTATTAACTTTTCAACAAGCAATTACCTTAAGAAATAGGAAAACCCTTATAATTACCCCTTTCCCTAGAGACACCACCAATTTTCTAAGAAGCCATATTTTCATCTCTTTTATGCCTCAAAATAGGTAAAAGCTTTCTCCAACAAAAGCATATTCATGGACAGCTCCAAAATTAATAACATATTCGAAGGGCAAAATAGACCTTGCCATTCCTTGCTTGTAGACCAAATCCAGGGACTCCATCCATGATCTATCTATTATAGAGTTCATATCTCAACCTCCTTTTTGCTTTTAAACATTTTACTGGTGATATACCTGGAAGCTAAAAGCAATCTCCAATCTCCATATATAAATTATATTACTCCAAGAACAAAGTTTGCACCTTGTAATATCCAGAAGAAAAAGCATATAAATTTCAAATCAGATTTTGAAAAGTTGTTAGCTCTAACAGCCTAATTTACTTGCTAAGTTGCTTGATCAGGCAATCCAAAAATAGAATCAACAATCTGGAGCAAGAGCTAATTAGAATGTGCTTAACTTTAACAAATAGACCAAGGACCAAGGACTCAAGAAGTGAATTATCAGCTGAATAGTTAAACTATCAAATTCCTGCTTCCACTGACACATTAATAGTACTCATAACGTAACTTTCTCTGCAAGATCAAAATCCTCTCTAGCAAGAACCTCGGATCTAAGTATGTTTGATTTTGTTGTGAATTGCCAATGATTGTAGCTGGTCATTTAGAGCATTGTCAAGTCTGTATGCATGGTTATTGTGATATTTCAATATCAAAGTTCCTTATATGCATTTTGATACTTCAGCAATTAAGGCTGTACACTGTGAATCTCACCATAATCTTATTTTTCAGTTCTGGCAAAGGGAGGCAGCAATTCTGAGACAACAACTGCAAAACCTGCAAGAAAATCACAGGTATATTGATTTTTTGACAATACAAATCATCATATCCAACATCAATGGACAAGTACAATAAGCCAAAAATGAAAAATTAAGAAACTATTTTTACATTAGGCATTCTTCAGATTACAATTATTATCCCTATATGTCTGAATTTAACACAGACAACATCATGCTTTTCAACCAATAACATGTCACAGATAAGTGATATAACATCTCTTTTCTCCTTTGACCTGTTATAACTATCTATTCCACCCTTTTATAGATGCAATTATGCTCAGGATTGTCCGTGCTTTATGCCATGGTTCACATATCAGAAGATCAGACTTGAATGAATCAATCATTCTTCAGTTAAGATGAACACAAAGAGATTAATGGCCCTAGACATTAATTTCTATTCTGTAAAAAGCAGATTTCCTATCTAGCCTTAAAGCATCAAATGCATCAATTCTAAAAAGTAGAAATAGAAAGTGAAAGACAAGTCCAATTCATCTCATGTATATGCCTAAGAAAGGCTTTCACAATGTCTAAGATAAAAATTTTATAGACTGAAATTATGCTTCTGCAAACCAAAACAGACAAATGATGGGTGAAGAGCTTTCTGGATTGAGCGTAAAAGATTTACAGAATTTGGAGAGCCAATTGGAAATGAGTCTACGTGGTGTCCGTATGAAGAAGGTTTGAAATTCTTATTTCCATGTCATTTTTTTTTAAGTTCAAAATAGCATGCAAACTATAGCAACTCCATGCTAGTAACATTTTCTCCACTGCTGTAGGACCAAATTTTAATGGATGAAATTCAAGAATTGAACAGAAAGGTGAACCCTGGAAACAATAAATTTAGCTCTTTAATATCACACTCTGCTTAAGTTCCTAAATTTCATTGTCTCATTGCAGGGAAACCTCATTCATCAAGAAAATGTGGAACTCTATAAGAAGGTAAATTTAATTCGTCAAGAAAACATGGAATTGTATAAGAAGGTATAAATTTGAATGGCTCATATAAATCTCAATTTTCCTTGAAAGATTATAAGATTCAACCATCAAACCTTTGTTAGTTGTGAGATGTTCTAAAAAACTAACCTCAACAGAGAGTTTCGCATACCAGGTTTATGGAACAAGGGATGTGAATGGTGCAAACAGAGACTCCCATCTCACAAATGGTCTAGGCATTGGAGAGGACTCACATGTGCCCGTCCATCTCCAGCTAAGCCAGCCACAGCAACAAAACTACGAGACACCAGCAAGAGCTACAAAATTGGGGTATATTTTCCTCCATATGGTAGAATACTTCAATTAAAATACCGATTATTTTGCCACAATTTAATCTCCAACTTTTTCATGGGAACTGCAGCAGACTGCAACTGCATTAGCAAAACAAGATGCATCAAAGTGGGATTGGATGTCACTCGACTTTGATCACCAAATGCTTATGGGTCTAAAGCTTATGCTTCTCATAGTAAGATGTGGTATGTTAAACCACTAATCATTCAGCAAAGCAACATTGGTTTGAAATGATTAAGCAAATGAAGTTTAGCATGTGTGTGAAGAAAACCATCTAGTTATGTAAAGATAAGTTAAGTGTAATAAAGAAAAATATACATATAAAAGGGAGCAAATGGACATTGTATTCCGTGTGCAGTTCAGCTTTTTGCAGTTTTAAAGACAACTGGCAATGGAGGGCACAATTACATTCATTGTAGTTAACAAAACTTATATAGTTGTCACCTCAGGGAACATATATGACAGCAACAGGGTGCTTCAGAAAGATAATAATATTTAGATTAGCGAACCTCAAACAAATATGAACTATAGAAGTATGTCCAACAAGATATTTAAAAGACTCAACTCATTATAGTTTTACTGCAACTCAATTTTCAATGATAATACCAAGACGGAGTAATTGTACCTACCTCATTATTCTCCTTCATTACATGCTAAACAGAAAACTGATATCCTGATCAGCACTACAAAAAAAAATGGTTCATATAACAATCTGAGAACACCAGCCTATGCAAAAGAAAATAGCCTTGTTATAATATGTTACCAAAACTATACAAACAGAAGGTGAAAAAAAGTTTCTTCAATGATTAATAAGAACCGATGTTAAGAGACATGGCATATTATATAAATAGGGTGATAGAGCAATTTCAAAATGTAAAAACCATTCTAGTTCACTGCTTAACTTGAAGATGCATAAGCATCTCCAACATGGCTTAAAACCTAGGACTGTATTTTTCCTAAGAACAACTTGCATTCACATAACCGACATTCACAGTTGCCATTGAGATATTGGGCCTTAAAAGTAACTTCAGGCTGCATTTAATGCTAGCAAACATCAGAGCAAAGTACAGCAACTGTGGACAGAATACAAGCATCCCAAGGAAGGTTGACAACTCAAGACTAGAAATGTCATAAGCAGAACAAGGAGTCAGCATAACTAACAAGAATTATAAGAATATGCTGCAATAACTCCGCCTGTGGCCACACCACATGCCTATATCAGCGACCACAGCCGGTCCCAAGCCCGGATAAAGGAGGAGGGTTAAAACATGTTGAAACAAAACACGACAAAACAATTATGGAACATCAAAAGAACCTATCTTTCAAATTGTTAAATCAAAGGAAGTATAACTAGAACAAAATAGAATTTAGTTAAGCACCTTGCGATTAAGAGTAATTATATTCTAATGTTGGTCCAACTCTTTACTTTTCTAGTAGCAACCGTGTTGGATACATATCGAATATATACCTTAGACCGACATTTGCAACATTAAAACTTGATGCAATTGAAGCCAAGTTATTCATCAAGAGACATAATCAAGCATAGTAAAAGGAAAAAAGGTCAAAGCAAACAAGAAATAAGGTAAACGGAGAGAAAAGCAGAAGAAAATAAACTCATACCCTGACATTAATGTAGGAAAGAAAGAAAAGGAAACATTAATAAATCATACCCTTACATTAATGTAGGAGAGGAAGAAAAGGAAACATTAATAACTTGCCTGGATAGTGGATAGTATAGGATTTAGCCTTTATCTGCTTAAAGAACTCATACAATTATAGGATAGTGCATATGATTTATCAGTGAAACTTAGACATAACTCATGTCTTATAATTTATTGAGTATTTGCTGCCTCTCTACAACTCAACCGAAGTGAGCCTTAATCTCAAAATAACCAGCTACATCAATCTTTTTGCTTACGTCCACTCAGTTACAGGCTATGTGCTCCAAAAGATCAAGAGGTGCCAGATCACATAAGCATAAGTACACACATACATAAATATTTGACACACACAGACACACACATAGCTTTAACAAGAAATAAGTAGGCATATAGTAATGTTTCCATGTCTAAAGTTTTGGAACCTGCTTGAGTCCAGCATCTTCTCCCCATTTCAAAACATGACACAAGCATTGCCATATACTAATCATAGAGCTGAAGGAACTTATGTACAAAATTGACAATACGTGATGCATGCACTTAAAATTCTGTCATAGATGCTAAACACTTAACAGGAGTCCTCAAGCATTGGTGAATAACCTATATTCAGTTCGACCTTGAAGAATAAAGACAATTATTGGAAACCCATTAACACACTATATGTTGCATATACGCTTTCTCTCTATGATCTTAGTCAGCTGATTTTAGCCCATAAATACTCTGTACTCATCCAACAAGGCAAAATACAATTCCCTAATCACCATATCTTTTAGGATAGTGAACATCCTTTTACGAAATTGACCTCATAATACGTGTATCCTAATCCTTAATACACATTTTGAATCTATAAGTAATGAATTGTGATCTTGATGAATATAATTTTCATCTTAAACAAGATCAACTATAGCTTGAAAGATTTTGAAAATTTAAATGAGCTAATAAAGTAGACGATTAAGATAAGATAAGATTTAGGGGAAGACTTCTTAGGAAAAGTAAAGGCAAGATAAAGAATCAAGAGAAAACCTAATGACAATATTGTGAATCCCACAAAAATTCAATTGAGGACTCAGCGAAAGACTTACATGCATATTTGTTGACTGAATTGTATTAGTGTTTGTTGAAATATAAGCAGTTGTAGACTAGAAATAATAGTCAAATCTTTTCAATGGATTAACAATTTTATTATTTTACCACAATACAAAATTCTACTACGACACTTCCAACCCAAAAGGCATGCCTATCAAGAGGAGAAGGCCTTATAAGCTCATGACCCATCTCATCTCTTACTAATGTGAGATTTGACATTTTACCCTATTCAATAGTATAACGCCCTCATTGCAATGACTCTTTCATCCAAAGAGGAGAGGGACCCACCTTGGTCTAAGCCTATCTCAACCCTAGTATCTCTAATGGAGGATCTCACATCAGTAAAGAATTAGGTAGGCTCTAATATCTCTTGTTACGAACTCGCACTTCCAACCCAAAAGACTTGTCTATCAAGTGAAGGAAGACCCTTACAAACCCAAGACCCATCCCATCATTTATTGATATAGGATCCATATCATTAGCAGATTCAAAATAAAATTGGTGCAAACAATACAAAGAACTACATGCCATATATAAGGAAAAATTGTGGGGAGATAGAAGAAAACTTTTTAAATAGTTATTATATATGCTACCTATTTTAAACTAACAACAAACTTCTATTTGTTCCCCTTTAATTATCTACAAAATTTTATTAGAATAATAACTTAGGAAGGATTACTATCACAACAATATAAACAAGGATGTTGAGTTTGATCTTAACACGTATTGTGGGAGCCAAATAACAGTTAACAGAACCTTACAAAGGTAGATGTCACTCAAAGTATGTGGCAATCATGCTTAGCTGCTACAAGGATTGTTCATCTAAAACTTACTGGGTCACACAATTTTGTCCACAAAGGTTAATTCCAATTTTTTTCCTTGCCCATGGAATGGGGTCCATAATTTCCCCCATTTATTCCTTAACGTCCTTGTCAAGGAATCGATTGCTTAACCTCATAGTAAGAAATGCAAAATTCTAAAAATGTGGCAAGCATAAGGTTAGAAGGTGGCTCTCATCACAATTGGACAAAGTAAAACTTTTGTTCCCTATAGCACCTTGTCCTAACAAACAACTTAGCTTCCACACTTAACACAAACTTAATACTATATGTTACAATTTCACCTAACTACTGCAAGGTATTGATTTACTTTGGCCCCATTAAGCCTTACATGGGCCTCAAAATCTGTCTCACAAGATTGATTTCAAATCTCTACATAAATGCCAAAGCCTTTCACATGGTCTTAATTGGGATAGAGGTTTGCAAAGGGCTCTTCAGTAATGAAGTAGAGAAGCATTGCAGCCAATGGTAGAAAGGAAGCAGCGAGCATCCAGGAGATGTAACAATAGGTAAAGATAGTAGTACTAGAGGATAAGTGCTATCAATAGGTAGTAAAATCTGCCTCACAAGATTGATTTTAAATCTCTACATAAATGCCAAAGCCCTTCCATGGTCTTAATTGGGACATAGGTTTGTAAAAGGTCTCTTCTATAATGAAGTAGAGAAGCATTGCAACCAATGGTAGAGAGGATGTAGAGAACTAAAGATGTTGCTTGAGCACTGTTAATGTGCTTAAGTACAATGGTAGATAAGGAAATATTTGAATATTGACAAACGTGTGAAGCAGATGGAATGCCCCAAGGAGAAGCATGAGCATCCAAAAGATATAATACTAGGTAAAGATAGTAGCACTGGAAGATTAGTACCATCAATAGTTAGTATCAGTACTAGCAGAGATGCTATCTAGGAGCAATATCGGCCATGGATGAGAAGGAGTAGATAGAAGCAATATTGGTACTCAAGAAAAAGGACATCTAGGTTTTGTTTGGAGATGAACTAACTAGGAACACCTAGTTATAGTCTTGTACATGCAATCAATGAGACCAATAACACGATAGCAACCCAATCTCAAGCCATGTAAAGAGGTATGAGGTATATGATGCGTTGACTAATTGTTATATCTAGTGCTATGATAAATGCATAGGGAGGTAAACCTGTGTCAACGGGGTGATCCATGAACTAACTATGGGCCCATTTAGTTTTAGAAAGTGTTTCAATTTTCATTTACAATATTATCAATAAGGTAAAAACTAAATTTGGAAAATTGGAAAATAAAGCATTCCATAAATGTAGTTAAAAGTTTGAAGCTATTACCCTTATCTTGTCAATCATTTATAATGTAAAAATGGAGAAGGAAAGTGGAAAACATTTTCTAAAACTACAAGGGGCTTAAAGTGTTATGAGGAGAGATTGTACGGATAAGAACGCTTAACTAGCCCCATAACTACCAAGCTAAAGGTCTACGACGTCCTAGTATTTAATTCCAACCGAGGCAACCATCAGTACTCCTAGGGTTAACCCCATGTTGTAATACCTACAAATAAAAATTGCAAGATAATAGACCACAATCATAAATCTACAAATTGTTATAAAAATTGCAAGGCAAGTATAATAGACCACAATCACCATTATCCATCTACAAATTGTTACAAAGCTAACCACCTACATGGAAAGTAATCAAAATAAAATTGCTTCCAGCTTGTGGCAGATATTTGAATATTGATCCAAGCATTTTGCTCAATTGTTGGTGCAGGATCCTCCAACTCAAAGGGTATGGTTTGAATCCCCCCTCCCTCAAAGCAAAAACAATAAACATTTCTGTTGTATGATAGATTACTTAAATCTTTACAATATAAACATTATCATGCTTGTCTCCAAATGTGTTATTTTTCCTTGTTCTTTTTCCTTTGATCAAATAAGGAATATGTTGTGCGATTTTTTTAGAATTCTAGAACTAGATATACTATCAAATGAACCCAAAATTTTTATCGTTCTCATTTGGAAGGGGTAAAATTTTTGTGTAGATATTGACTCCATACATGAATAATAAACTTGTACTTAGTTTGAGAGAATCAAACATGTAAAATTAAAGTTTTCAATTGTAAGACTACTATTTAAAAGCAAGCACTCATGATTTATTTCTTTGAAGTATACTGGAGAAACTTATACAAATTTTGGAAGCACCTTGTTAGCAAGAGAGTAGCAACAATGTAACTTACATCAGTGAAATAATGTGCAAACTGTCTAAGTAAAAGCTATTAGCCACACAACAAAGGAAGCTGAATCTAATTGGTATTAACTTGTTAAAATTTTAGAACCGAAATGACAAGTTCAAGCATGCACAGACATACTGAGCTTTCTCATGTGTAAAAGGTAAAAGAGAGTAGGAAAAACTATCAGCTGCATGATGGAATTAGATAGTTTAAAGTAGAAGGTAGTATAACCAAAATATAAAATATGTTTTTACTAGAACTGAAATTGTGAATGATAGGCATGCTAAAAGGTAACATTGTTTTAAAAACTGTATTCTTACTTTTTCCATCTAGAGAAATTAATTATTACCAAAAGACTGTTAACATATTAGTATGAACTTTAAGAAGATAAATGGAGAAATGGATCTGAAATGTAGTAGAAGCTTAAATAATTTCTTAAAACAGTTGATATTTGGTGCTAAAGCCAAATCTCCAAAAGTTTACAATAGAGACAACTACAACAAGAATTGAACATAAAAACCTCAATGCAAAGGTGTCAGTGATTAGGGATACGATCAGAAGCATTTGTACATTATAGCAGAGCCCAGTATTGATCTAGGAAAGCAACAATTCAAGGGAATGGCTCAAATAAAGCAAAACCAACCTAAAAGGTAAGTTACTAAAAGAACAAAAGAAAACATGTGGGAAGGGAGAAAACTTGCATGTTGATGATGTAAAATTAGTTTCACAAATTTGCATAGGAAAAACGCTAATCCCATGCGTTTAAGATTGACCACTAAAGATCAGCACATTGTAAATTAATCTAATTTCCGATTACTTAACTGAAAGGCAATGAGAATGAAGAGAGGAGATGCAACAAGGCACTCTCTTATCGGTTATGCCATAGAGCAAATTCCACCTAAAATCCAAAAGAAGAAACTGCCACTTCCAAGCTAAATAGCAATATCATTTCAAAATTATATTATTATAAATATTAATTACAAATATTTGATGCTACTCCAAATCTTCACTTTACAAAATCATAACCACATATATATACCAAACTAAAAACGAATATCTCAACTTGATCCTCCAATTATCTCTCGAAATAACAAATATTGAAACAAACAAGTATCAAACAAGGGTATATCTCCAATACTAATACCAAAATATAAGTAATTTAACTACTATGCGTAAGAATATGTGAGGAAAAAGGTATGAAAACCCCCTCCAGCTCTATATTCCAAAAATCTTATCTTTTACATATTCCCAAGATCTCTTATCCACTAAGATCATGCCTCTATCCTTATGGTAGCCAGCATTCTTAGTGAAACTAAAAGTTTTGAAAAAGTCATAGTCCACATAGAGGTCTTGAGTTATTTAACAGAATACTTATTAGTAATAATTAGTAACAAAACTAAAAATTGCTAGAAGGCAAGGGCAAAAAACTGATCACTAGTACCAATGACGAACATCATCAGCAATTCATAACAGCAACAGCCAAAAAAAAAGCCACACTAAGAAACTCAATAACTTCTCAAACACAAAACTTGTCATTTGGCAACCCAACCCACCGTCCTCCTCCTATCTCAACAAAACTTTAATGAGAAGTAAAATCAGTTTGATTACAATTACAATTAGTAAAAAGGAATAGCACACACAACATGTATAGCCAATACAGCTAATTTACAAATAAAAGTCATGCATACAAAGCATTGCTACTCATCACGAAACCCTCTCCAAAAAGAAATGTTCAAATTTTTGGACAAAAGTTAAATAATTAATGACGAGTAATCGTACTTGTTGAAAAATCTAGTCTAGCATATGTGACCATAAAGACAGCCATTACCACAATATTTTATGTGCTTTTCTATGATTGTTTAATCCAGGGAACCATCGACTAACACTATGCACCTTATGATCCCTTATAATGATGATTATCCACCAGTGAAAGCATAAAATATTGTACGATTGCAAATATTAATGGACTGTTATTTTGTAAAAAAGATAAGGACTGTGCAAAAACGTGTATCCTATGACATATCTTTCGCATCTCAATGTAAAAAAGGACTCAAACTCATTCACTAGTACAAAGTTTAAAAATTGAAGCTAAGGTGATATAATTGCTTTGCGGTAACCCAACCAAAGTTAAAAGAAAGGCGAACAGTACTCAAACGGTACGCAAAAACGGCAGGAGATGATAATTAAAAAAGGTAGCACTCATAAAAAATTTAAGAAGAATCATAACAATTACCTGGAAGGCCAAAGCTAATTCGCTTTGAATCTCACCTGAAAATAGTCCAAATGTCAAAATTCCTATTGCAATAACTTTTTTTACAAAAAAAAAAGGTCGTAATAAAGAGAAAGAAAATGTTAGCAATAAATTTTACCATAGCATTTCTACCATAAGCGTAAAACACTCCATTTCTCCACTTCGTTGACGAGAAAATATGTCAAAAAGGGACTATTATAGAAATGTTTTCAACGAAAAGAGCAATTCTCAGTTAGCTTTCTTTTTCCATCAGTCTCTCAGCAACCAAACGGATTTTACACAAATAACAGCAAAACAAAGTTCTCTATCGCCATCAATTATAAATTCCGAATCAAAACAAAACAACAACTCGTAAAAATCTCAAGCAACAAATTACTTCACTGTAAAACAAACAGCATTCACGTTTAAAGCTGAGAATGCAAGCTCAAAACAAAAACAAAAACAAAAACAAAAAACGAACGTAAAATCAAAAAAATAACGATCTGATTACGGAGATTTTAGCCGAATCAATAAAAAGAGACAAAGAAAAAGGAGAAAATTAGAGAAAAAACGAGATCTGTTTTGTTTAAGGGGACGAAGAAAATCGTACCTGCAGAAGCTAGGGAAGCTGAAGAAGAGCAAGAGAAAAAAATATCTGGAGCAGGAGCAGACGAGCGATGGGGGCATTTAAATAAGTTAATGTGGGGGAGTGTAAATGAAGGATGCCCCCACTTAATCTTGTTCTTACCTAATTAATCAAATTAAAATTATTCAATAAACAGACATTGGTTGAAGCTTAGGCTTGGCTTTTGGGAAAATTAGTAAAACAATTATTTTATTTTCTTTCGTTGTTGATTTTAAAACTTGACCTGATTCTTTCATAATCTAGGGTTTCGGGTTTTCTTAAAAAATATATAGAAATTTACAAATCGCTTTCTGCGTCTTTGGAGACGGCCGTTGTTTCATTTTCACCCGAAAACCGGCTAAGCCGCTATTTTAAGTTCGAGCCGCCGATGTCTCCGGTTTTCACGCCGTTTGGAATAACACAATTCGCTGACGCGATTAGGCAAACCAACCGCGCCCAGGGTAGACAAACTGATGCGCGAACCAACCGGACACGTGTCGA